GAATTTATTGGAACAACACTCCAAAACCTTATATATTGAACTCAACCAATTTATAAGACTTTCAAAATCAAAACACTCTCCCCTCTCCGGTCTAGAATGCATGTTAATAAAGATCAGTTCCACAGCAATTATTAAAAATAGTGAAATTGCCTATCAGGTGTTACACAGATACCGAACCTGCTAGCTCAGTATACTATGAAATAACAAAAACGCGAGTAACTCGGCAGATGGGTGTCATCTGCCTCCCTAGGGGCAACAGCACTTCCCACCAAATTATCAGAAGCCTCTGCGCTATCTCTTTCCAGACACGCCTCTCTGTTATTCCTCTTACTCGTTCCATGAGCAATGTCCCGGAAAACACCGTATACGGAGGACCAAAGCCCCAGAACCCAGACCAAAGTGTAACTCTAACCCACTTGCGCCAAAAGCACCTCAAGGTGACCCCATAACAATGGTTACTGCTTACGATTACCCGTCGGCGGTTCATATCGACACACGCCGGCATCGATATTTGTCTCGTCGGTGACTCTGCCTCTATGGTGGTTCACGGCCACGATACCACTCTTCCGATTACGCTCGATGAGATGTTGGTGCATTATCGTGCGGTGGCGCGTGGTTCAAAACGGTCGTTGCTCGGCGGTGACCTTCCTTTTGGTACCTATGAATCCTGCAGCAATCAGGTAATGTTCATTTGCGTAAATCATCAATTTCGTGGTTATATCTTTTGCACTTTTATTGTATTATTTAGCGCTCTGATTTATGTGTGGTTGCTCAGAAAAGTGAAGGAAATCAACAGCATGGTTTTGGAGAGATGAATAGCCAGTGTGATAATTCAACTGTTCGAAACAACCCATAATTTATCTCTTGACGAATCAAAGAATACACTGTTTGGCTAATATTTCTCATCACCGACACGCAACACAATTTTAGGCTATAACCGGTAGCATTTCCGTTGTCGGATAATTGAAGGGCAATTGAATTTTTAGTTTCATTAAGCAAGAAAAATTATGCTTGGAACTGAAATTTTGCAAATGCTAGATTTTGCATAGGTAAATAAGAGTCCCTTTAGAAATGGAACAGTAGTGTGGTCGGACTTGGTTGTTGGGATGTTGTAGAAAATCATCACCAAATTGTTGGGATGACTTAATAGTTTTAAGCTTCACGATTACTTTCAACAAATGGAACAATGTTGCAATCTTTAAATTAGTGGATATTTGATGTTGAATTTGGGTTAAAATGACTACTGTTGGTGATGTTGCAGTCTGAATTATGAGCTGGCAGTAGATACAGCAGTCAGGGTGCTGATGCAATCAAATTAGAAGGTGGGGCGCCATCAAGAATCACAGCTGCAAAAGCCATTGTCGAAGCTGGAATTGCAGTTATGGGGCATGTGGGGCTTACCCCTCAGGCCATTAGTGTTCTTGGAGGGTTTAGGCCTCAAGGAAGAACGTTGCTGGTGGTGTCAAGGTATTCCAGTTTAAACACAAACATATGTTTTAAGTGGAAACATAGTAAGAAATAAACACTTGTACTTTAGGTGTATGAAAAATTAGTTTGATTTCTGCAGGTTGTGGAGACTGCCTTGGCTTTGCAACAAGCTGGGTGTTTTTCTGTTGTTCTGGAATGTGTGCCTGCTCCTGTGGCTGCTGCGACTACATCTGCTCTTCAGATACCCACTACTGGAGTTGGGGCTGGGCCTTTTTGCGGTGGGCAGGTCAGTTGATTATTGTTAGGTCAATCTGATTCAGAAACCGAACATTGTAGATTGACATTTCCTTAAGTTTTCATTTTTATTGAACTATGTTTTAACCAAGGGCAGCAACTATATTATGGCTCAGAACATAGCGTCTCTGTCAAGCTTGTGTTTGTGGAATGATGAATTCAGACAATTTTTAGTGCTTTGGGTGTCATGTGTTTGTCACTAGTAAGCCCATACTTATGGTTCAGATCCAAGTGACAAGTGACCGTTGCATATCGCCAACCCTTCCTATACTGTTAACAGGAGTTATTTGCAAAATCAGTGAGCAAGCAAAATGAGTGAGAATGCTTCATGTATTTTCATTGGAACAATTCAACTAAAACTTGTTGAATTCTCCACTATCAATTTCAGTTCATGGTTAGATCTGCCAGTTTTAAGTTGAGTTTGTGGATTCTTTTCCAGTAGTAAGAATCTTCTAATTTTTCTCAGTTTATTGCTCCTTTTTTTTTAGCATGGAAAAGCTCCTCTGCATCTTTTTTTTTTTTTTCCTTCTTTTCTCTACCTATACTATTCTGTTAAGGTTCATTGTTTTACAGAGACAATGTAGACTGCATTCAAATGCATTTTTCCACTTCATTTCTTCCAACAGGTAGAGGTGTAGTTGTACAGAGCCACTTTTATGCCAAACACATTTTCCGCTGGATTTAGTGTTAGGTTTACTTCAATGATATTTTTTACATATGCAGGCGCTTGTTTACCATGATCTACTTGGAATGCTACAACACCTTCATCACGCCAAGGTTAGTCCCACAACTGTTATTCCGGTTAGTTGTACAGTCCTGTCCCCCCCCCCCCCCCCCCCCCTCTTTTTTTTTTTTTTTCTGTCTCTCTTCTTTTTTCACAAATTTAGGACTTGTGTTAATCGAAAAGGGATGCTCCTCCTCTCACAGGTTACCCCAAAGTTCTGTAAAACAGTATGGGCAGGTTGGCGATATTATCAACAAAGCTCTTTTGGAGTACAAGGAAGAAGTGGCCAATGGATCTTTCCCGGCCCTGCCCATAGCCCATATAAGATCAGTGCTGCTGATGTTGTAGGTTTTTTAAATGAACTGCAGAAGCTAGGTTTGGAAAAGGCAGCATCTGCAGTTGCTACGGCAATTGAGAAGATTGAGACCACTGATGGAGGTAGCCCAAGAAGGGGATAAATTTGTGCTAGAACAACCAAATTGACCTTGCACCCCGTATCAAACTTTTAATTTCGACATGGTTTAGCCCTTGCCTTTTGATTTTCTTAATCAGGAAAAAATGCCCATAATGGCTTTGCAATGCTAGTTTTGGGAAGTAGTTGAGCTAACATGTTAAAAGGTCTTCTCTTACTCTTTGCAACCAGTACAGATCAGAGGTTTTGAAGTTTGGCCGTCTCAGAAGTAGTTTCAAAGTAGAAAAACTATCGCTGCAAAACTGACGTTTTTGTGTTTTATTTTTCGATTTCTAATTTTAGAGTTTCATTGGGCAAGGACCATCCAGGGAAAGGTGCCCAGATTGACCCAGGACAACCACAGGGAGAAGCGCTTAGATCAACCCCATTGAAATCAGGAGGTGAATCAGCATTGCAAGATCAGTACAATCGATTGGACTGAGTTCCTGAATGCACAAGCTAACCTCAACAGGACAGCTCGTCCTAAAGCACACTCATTAGGTGATAGACTCTTTCAGAGACGTGCAAGATCATCAAATATTCAAAGTGGAGGACTTGTCATACTGCATGTTACTCTTAGGAAATATATCCTCTTAACAACTTTGGAAATATAGGCTCTAATAGTTCAATATTTTCTCAACGAAATCCTAATAAACCAGAGAGAGACACTTAAGGATAACATAATTGCCTCTTATAAATACTCAGGCTCTTACTCGTGTGAGGGGAAGACAAAATATTGTAACAAACTCTTATTTTTCAAGTAATGTTCAATTTTTTCAGGAATAAGAGACTCTATGAGAGTGGATTGGACAAGTTCCACAATCGGCGAATTACTATAATTTTTGTGCTCTTGTCCGTTCTCTGGCTCAGTCTTCTTTACTGTTTTAACTGAAGCACCATACAATAATTTGAACCACTATAATTTGATCTCAAGGATCGTTTCTCCCATCACAAACTCATGAAACTAGTATCCATAAGCCTTGAACTCTTCAGTTCAAGCATCCCGCTTACATCTCGAGTCCCAAATCCATCAGCTTACAAAAAATAATTATAAAATAAAGGTAATATTATAATACAACAAATTTTGATTGTTCGATTTTCATTTTGACATTTAATTAAAACATCACTCCATGATGTTTTAAATTGTATTAAATGAGGAGAAACTAATATATTTTTACTTTCAATTTACTCAAAACCCTAAATGGTAGCTCAAGTGAAGATCGAGATGAGTTGTAAACTCAGACGTCTTAAGTTTAGAATTTACCAACCTTTTGAGGTGAGTTCCTTGGAATTAATACAGTTTAGTTAGTAAGACGATATTTCATTTATTGGACGAATCATATACAAGCTTTGGGTATAAGTTTGATTCCCTATTAACTAATTGTGCAAATCTTGATTGACCGTTGCACGTGTTGAAAGGTCGATACATATGACATTTTCTGAGTGAAAATTATCTCTCAGAAAGACTAGAATTAACTTTGAGAGATAATTCTTCGGAAAGTTAACTTTCTTCAAAACTTATATATTTTACAAAATTCTGTCAAAATTCCTCTAAGACTTTCCACTCGCTTTAACAAAAACACAACTTATCACACAACATTATCTTCAATATTTTTATACATCAAGTCCTATTTAAAATTATAACATTTAAATTATTAAGAAATATAATAGAAGAAGTCCCACTTTTTAACGCTTGTATGGATAACATTTCGCAATACTATAAAAATGTAGGTTGGTTGTTAGAAATCAAAAAACTCCCCCTACGTCACTCCTCCTATCCCCACTTGCAGGTGGCGCAGCCCCGCTGCTCATATAACACACATGACCCCCCTTCACTCCCTCCTCCCCAACCCCCCAACCAATATCTCTCTCTGTCTCTGTCTCTCTCTCTTCTCCCTTCTCCCTTCTCCCTTTGACCTTCATATTTCTTATTTCAATGGCACTTCTGACCAAATTATCAAAAGCATCTGCTGCGGGCTCTCTTTCCAGACACTCCTCTCTGTTATTCCTCTTACGTTCCATGAGCAATGTCCCGGAAAACACCGTATACGGAGGACCAAAGCCCCAGAACCCAGACCAAAGAGTAACCCTAACCCATTTGCGCCAGAAGTACCGGAAGGGTGAGCCCATAACAATGGTTACTGCCTACGATTATCCGTCGGCGGTTCATATCGACACCGCCGGCATCGATATATGTCTCGTCGGTGACTCTGCCTCTATGGTGGTTCACGGCCACGATACCACTCTTCCGATTACGCTCGATGAGATGTTGGTGCATTGTCGTTCGGTGGCACGTGGGTCGAAACGGCCGTTGCTCGTCGGGGACCTTCCTTTTGGTACCTATGAATCCAGCAGGAATCAGGTAATGTTCATTTGCGTACATCATCAATTTCGTGGTTATATCTTTTTCACTTTTATTGTATTATTTAGCGCTCTGATATATGTGTGGTTGCTCAGAAAGTGAAGGAAATCAACAGCATGGTTTTGGAGAGATGAATAAGCCAGTGTGATAATTCATACTGTTCGAAACAACACATAATTATCTCTAGACGAATCAAAGAATACACTGTTTGGCTAATATTTCTCATCACTGACACGCAACACAATTTTAGGCTATAATCGGTAGCATTCCGTGGTCGGATAATTGAAGGGCAATTGAAATTTTAGTTTCATTAAGCAAGAAAAATTATGTTTGGAACTGAAATTTGCAAATGCTAGATTTGGCATAGGTAAATAAGAGTCCCTTTAGAAATGGAACAGTAGTGTGGTCGGACTTAGTTGTTGGAATGTTGTAGAAAATCATCACCAAATTGTTGGGATGATTTAATAGTTTTAGGCTTCACGATTACTTTCAACAAATGGAACAATGTTGCAATCTTTAAATTAGTGGATATTTGTTGTTGAATTTGGGTTAAAATGAGTACAGTTGGCGGTGTTGCCGTCTGAATTATGAGCAGGCAGTAGATACAGCAGTCAGGGTGCTGAAGGAAGGAGGAATGGATGCAATCAAATTAGAAGGTGGGGCGCCATCAAGAATTACAGCTGCAAAAGCCATTGTCGAAGCTGGAATTGCAGTTATGGGGCATGTGGGGCTTACCCCTCAGGCCATTAGTGTTCTGGGAGGGTTTAGGCCTCAAGGGAAGAACGTTGCTAGTGCTGTCATGGTATTCCAGTTTACACACAAACATATGTTTTAAGTGGAAACATAGTAAGAAATAAACACTTGTACATTAGGTGTTATGAAAAATTAGTTTGATTTCCGCAGGTTGTGGAGACTGCCTTGGCTTTGCAACAAGCTGGGTGTTTTTCTGTTGTTCTGGAATGTGTGCCTGCTCCTGTGGCTGCTGCGACTACATCTGCTCTTCAGATACCCACTATTGGAATTGGTGCTGGGCCTTTTTGCAGTGGGCAGGTCAGTTGAATCTATTGTTAGATCAATCTGATTCAGAAACAGAACATTGTAGATTGACATTTCCTCGAGTTATGATGTTTTATTGAACTATGTTACCCTTGGTTAAGATCTTCAGCATGGGAGTAATTGAACTTTTAATTGAAATCCTTGATTGTATTTGCTGGTGCATGTAATACATTTATTAGGATTATACAGAATTAGTGTCAAGGGCAGCAACTATATTATGGTTCAGAGCATAGCGTCTCTGTCAAGCTTGTGTTTGTGGGAATAATGAATTCAGACAATTTTTAGTGTTTTTGGGTGTCATATATTTGTTGGTTGTTACTGGTAGGCCCATACTCTTATGGTTCAGTTCCAAGTGACCATTGCATATCCCCAACCCTTCCTATACTGTTAACAGGAGTCATTTGCAAAATCAGTGAGTAAGCAAAATGAACCACGGTTAGATCTGCCAGTTTTAAGTTGAATTTGTGGATTCTTTTCCAGTAGCAAGAATCTTCTAATTTTTCTCGGTTTATTGTTGTTTTTTTTTAGCTCCTGGAGAATTTTTTTTTCATTCTTTTCTCTGCCTATACTATTCTGTTATGGTGCTATTCTTTTATAGAGACAATGTAGACTGCATTCAGATGCATTGTTGCAGTTGTACAGAGCCACTTTATTCCAAACACATTTTCCACTGGATTTATGCTGGTAAATGAGTTTCACTTTAATGAAATCTCTTTACATATGCAGGTGCTAGTTTACCATGATCTACTTGGAATGCTACAACACCCGCATCATGCCAAGGTTAGTCCCTTCCACAATTGTCATTCTGGTTGGTTTTTCCCCTCTTCCCCCTACAAATGTAGGACTTGTCTTAATCGAAAGGGATGCTCCTCCTCTCACAGGTTACCCCAAAGTTCTGTAAACAGTATGGGCAGGTTGGAGATATTATCAACAAAGCTCTTTCGGAGTACAAGGAGGAAGTGACTAATGGATCTTTCCCCGGCCCTGCCCACAGCCCATATAAGATCAATGCTGCCGATGTTAATGGTTTTTTAAATGGACTGCAGAAGCTAGGATTGGAGAAGGCAGCCTCTGCAGCTGCTACAGCAGTTGAGAAGATTGAGACCACTGAATCACCTGATGGTGGTAGCCCAAGAAGTGGCTAAATTTGGGCTAGAACTACCAAATTGACCTTGCACCCTGTATCAAACTTTTCCACTTGGTTTGGCCCTTACCTTATTGATTTTCTTAATCATGAAAAAATGCCCATAATGGCTTTGCAATGCTAGTTTTGGGAAGTAGCTGAGCTAACATGTTAAAAGGTCTTCTCTTACTTTTTGCAAGCAGTATACATCAGAGGTTTTGAAGTTTGGGTGTCTCTGAAGTAGTTTTAAAGTTGAAAAACTATCATTGCATAACCGGCGTTCTGTGTTTTATTTTTCAATTCCTAATTTTAGAGTTTCATTCTAATAAGGCCATTGACCCTAATTCTTACACGCGGTTGCTTGTCGAAATGTATTTTGTACCTTGAAAGCATCCCATAAAAGATTTGGCCATTCTGCTTTCATTGTTGGAGGTTAAGCAGGTGGATTCTCCCCTTCACTGTTTCAGAACCTGTATGTTTGGATATAGGAAGGCCACCAATTGTAGCAGTGATTGCTCTAGTAGTTTTTTTTTTTTTTTTTTTAGGGAGGGGGACTTGAACTCTTGACCTCAAGAAGACAAAATCTTCGTAAGGTAAAGAGTACTATTGGACCAAAGGCTCATTGGTAGTGATTGCTCTAGTGAGGTGTTTGCTATCAGAGTTATGCTTTGTTAACTCTTGGTTTTTGGATTTAGGACAATTTGAGTTTTTGTTTGTTAAATTATCAATAAATTGGTGAAATTTTTGGTAGATTTGCAATTTGAATTAGTACATATTATAACTTTTGGCAGGAATCACTTATTCTTCAACTTCAAATCAAATCAAGGTGTCTTTGCAGGTCCTATAGAATTATGAACAGGCATGCAGGTCATCACCTATTAGAGGTATTCCGGGAATCGATGAGATAAAATTGTTTACACGAACTCTCCAAGACACAGCTATATCTCGTTATAGATAGGAGTTTTATATACTCGGCGTAACCAACCCACCTAGCATAAGCGTTGTGAAATTACAAATGTTAGGCTAGAAGGTTTGCTTTACATCATAGAAATGATAAGGTTCAAAATTTTGATCTTAGAATTCCACAACAGACGGTGCCATTGTAGATTTCTCTGTATTCGTCAAGTTGTGAGTAGAACACAGTTTGCTCAATGCTACAGTGAAGTGATTGGTTTTGCACAGTGCTAATTTGGAGCACTAAAGAGGGTTGTTCCATTTTTCGCTTGAAGATATTCGTGATGTAGCTAGTGGAAGTGTGGAACACCATTTTTACACAACAGTACAGTTAAATAATCATTTGTAGGAAAAATGATGGAGCTGTGTTTATTTTGAGATAGTGGTGAGCGGGACGTAATATTAATTCAATTTATTTAATTTATCGTGTCAAATGACTTTAATTTTAATTCAACATATTTTTGTCAAATTGTGTCATGATTGAGTCGATTCGTAGAACTCTTAAAAAATATATTTAGAATTATGATTTTATTTGTCAATTTCAACTACATCAATCATTCATAAGAATTCTTGACATTGGAACGTTATTTAGTTAAATACAACACTATTCACCAAAATGATTAATTTTGCACGAAGGTGCTAATTTTCAACCACCGCAAATGGTTCTAATTAACAATTGATTCTCAAGCAATTACCAATTATCTTCGGCGGAACATTACTAGTTACTTATCTTTCATGAATATTTTAGTTTCGACGTGAATGATTTACCTTTGATCAAAGCGTAGAGAAAATTAGTGGAGGTGCGCTTAAACTAACGTGAACACTCCTGATTGTTAAAATAAAAAAAAATGTTATAGAAATTTAATTTAAGAATTTACTCATATATTTATTTTTTGTAATTGTTAAATTAGTTTTGAATTTTAAGATTAAACGACACTTATTTTCAATTCAATAGTTGAAATTGATTAGATCATCGTATTAAATCTCAATCTAAATAGTAATAAAAAGTATTATATAAATTTAATTTATTAACTTAATACATCACAATTATTAAATTAATAACGTATTTAATAAATAAATATTGAAGTCCATCGTTAATTTGATTTAAATAATTTATTAATGATTCAAGCGATAATAAAAATAAATTATAAATTCAAATGCGGAGAATTCGAGAGAGGAGATTAGTCGCATCAATCAGTCCTGAATAAAAAAAAAAAACATTCGATGCAAGCACGGACCAACTCTTCTCTTTCGAGATAGTCTATAATGTGGGTAGCTGAGGCACCACATTCGTTGATAAAGCCACTCCTACTCCGCTATTCTTTTCTTTCAACTTCTCATCCGTTTTCATCACTAACGCCACCCAGGAGACTTCTCTGCTTCCAATCTCGCAGGGGACTAATCGCAACCGTCACTGCCATGGAAGGAACCAAAACCACAGCCGGAGAATCCCCGTCGGACCACGTCACCGGAACCTGGTACTCCGTGCCGGAGCTCCGACTTCGAGACCATCGATTCACAGTCCCTCTCGAATACTCTCTCGATCACAAAAGCTATACCAAGATCTCTATCTTCGCTCGCGAGGTCGTTGCTGGTCAGTCCCTTTGTTAATCGAAAGTCCTACATTTGCATTGTTCACTGCTAACTACTTTCCATTGGTCACCCAAGAAAGTGTACATAAACTCAATAGCAAACTCATCCAACCACACATTTAAATATGTTTGGTTTGGAAGTTTTGGATCAATCAAGGTTTCTATTGGATATGAGGTCTTATGTAATGTCATATGTTTAATAATAAGAAAACGTTATACTTCAGTATTTGCTGCTCAAATTTCCATTGGAGTGTACTGGAGGATTTTTTTTTTTAGTTTTCTGGCCAATTGGTTTGATATTACAAGGCCCATTATATCAAAAGCTTATAGATTCATCAATGATTGCCATTCGGTTTTGTATATCTTCTTTCACTGTTCTATTGTGAACCAGAGGCAGATATTTGTGTATTCACAGTCTTCCTCAAAACTGATGAGGTTTTCTTAGTTTTGGGTGATAATATTCGTGTGAGTTCAATAGATGTAATCACATAATTTATGTTTTTCAGAGATTTTCAAGTTATACGAAAAGCTCGAATCTAAATGAGAGACACAAAAGTGATAAGGATGTGTATGGGGTGATCCCTCTATGATATCATTCTGTCAGCTGGTGTAAGTTATTTTTTATCAAAAAATAAAAGATGGTTTTTTGTGGGAAGAATTACTACATGGTATCGTGCTTGTTTCCTCATGGAAATAACATTTCTTTTTCGGATCATATTTGTGGTTTTGTCAGTTTGTTTTCTACTGATGAATGTGTATTGCAGTTGGCAAGGAAGATCAACTCCTCCCTTACCTATTATACTTGCAAGGTGGACCAGGTTTTGAGGCCCCCCGACCAACTGAATCTAGTGGATGGATAAGCAAAGCATGCGAAGAATTTCGTGTTATATTGATGGATCAGGCATGTCTGTATACATTCTTATAGCTAAGTTTTTCATAATTGGACGCCAATGCTTTGTATATTTGGCTTCTGTTGATGTCTTCCCAATGCAGCGAGGGACAGGCTTGTCAACTCCTTTGACAACATCATCTATGTTGCAACTGAAGTCTGCAGAGGATTTGGCTGACTACTTAAAACATTTTCGAGCTGATAATATAGTGAATGATGCTGAATTTATTCGAAAACATCTTGTTCCTGATGCTGGACCATGGACAGTTTTGGGGCAGGTAATTAAAATTTCTACTTTTATTTGCTGTTTGTATCTGGTAGTTGTACTGTATTAAGTTCAGTGCTTCTTCCAGTTTATACAATCACTACCAGAATGGGCATTTGTCATTGGGGACTTTGAAGTAAAAAATATCTTGCTATATTTTCCTTCCTGATTGTCTTTTGCTTTGAAGTTGCTTTCTATTCTTTTAAGTGATCATGGAAGTTATGATGTGATTTGTGACATGTTATTGTTAGTTTTGATGAAACTTCATCTTTTCCCTCGTGTAGAGCTATGGTGGTTTTTGTGCAGTTACCTACTTGAGTTTTGCACCAAAAGGACTGAAACAGGTGCTTCTTACTGGTGGAATCCCTCCAATTGGAAGTGGATGCACTGCCGATGCTGTGTACAGTGCATGCTTTGAACAGATTGTTCATCAGAATGAAAAGTACTACAAGAGGTTTCCTCAGGATATCGTATTAGTTTGTGATGTCGTGAATTACTTGGCAGAGTCTGAAGGCGGCGGGGTGAGGAAATCCGGGACTGTACAATCTTCATTTTCCTTTTCTTTCAATGGTAAGTTTGGTAACAGCATTGCTCATTCTCTCTTTCTCCCCCCTCCCCCTGTGGCACAGGTTCTTCTTCCATCTGGTGGCATCCTAACCCCGAGGGGACTGCAACTTCTTGGTCTGACTGGTTTAGGATCTAGTACTGGGTTTGAGCATTTGCATTATATGTAAGTTATCGTTTTTACTCATCTATCTATAAGTTATTTATGATATTATATTATTCGAGCTAACCATATCCTTTTTCTATCACTGATAGGTTTGAGAGGGTCTGGGATCCAGTGATAGTTCCAGGAGCCCAAAAGCAAATTAGCTACTACTTCTTGAATGCTGTAAGATTTAGTGCTCTCTTAGTGACCACAAACCTAGGGTTTAAAATCTCATTCTCAGCAACAAAAAACCTAATTTAGCTGAATAAAAACTGAAGATTTCGTGCAAGGTCTGCTTAAATTATCTTGGTCTTTTGAAAGTTTTGGAGATCTGGATGTGCACATAAAATCTCCAGGATTATGTTAGAAGTTGAAAGGTCGACTCCATCTGATCCCCATAGGCCCTTTGTTAATCCTGGGTAAAGATATCAATCATGGTATTCTTATGGTTTGTATGATTAACCATTTAGTCACTGGTTCATGTTTATATGTGATAATCATCTTGTGTCTGGTTTGCATGGCATTCTTCATGATGATTGTCTTTGTCATTACACATATTTTCATTACAAACATTTTGAGGTTCTACTTATTTTTTCCCCAACACCCCTACCCCCCACTCAAGAAAAAAGAGGAAAAAAGGAAAATTTTCCTCAACAGAATTCCGTAATCATGAAAGAGATTAAGTGCATCTTGACCTGCAATAGCAACTTCTTTGTCCATTCATTTTCACTGAGTAGCACTAACACTTGAAACAATTGGTAAAGTGTAGAAACAAAAAGAGAGAGAGAGAGAGAGACATTAATTGAGGCCAATAAACTTATGTTATCTGGTTACACAATCACACTTGTTTTTATACGTGTGCACACACCAAGCACATGACAGGCCCATGTGCATTAAAAGGAGAATAAATGACAATACCGCAATTAAATATAAATACTATGGCTAACACTATGGAAATTCACTCGGGCAGGCGTGTGCATGCATGCACACAGATTTGCATGGACACAGATGCTTGTGTGGATATAGGTACACTGTTTCTCAGAGAGTAGACACTCAAAGATAGTTTTGAAAAGTGCGTGATGTCATTCTAGTACATAGGGATTACATTTTTGTTTGATTCCATACTTCCCATCGCTCACCCCTTCCTTTTTATGTGGCACATGATGCATTGGTAATTGCTTAGTACTTTCGGATGGACATATTTGCAGCTTGATTCCACAACCAACTGACTTAATGTCTCTATACACATGCAGTTCGAGAAGTGGTTGTCATTCGATACAAACCCACTATACGCTCTTATGCATGAGTCCATATATTGTCAGGTAAACTTTTTACTTCCTGCTGGTAATGACTTTTTGTTTACTGGACAAATTTCATTGCGTATTTTTTTTAATGAGAAACATAAATTATTTATTGGAAATAAAGAGGAAGGTATTACATAATCCAAATGGACAAGAAGTCCATTCCAAAACATTTACATTTCTTGAAGTTTCTAATTTCTTGTATGTTTATAACTTGGAAGGGTGCTCCATCACGGTGGTCTGCTAATAGAGTAAGGGCTGAAAATGAGGACAAATTTGATGCAATTAAGGCTGCCAAAGAAGGTCACCCCGTGCTGTTCACTGGAGAGGTAAGGAAGAGTATTAATATCATGCTACAAAAATATAAATCAACCTCAAGCGCTACATATTTTGTTGCAATGAATGGAATATTGGAAGGATGAACTGGCTTTAGGGAACAGTGCCCTTTATGTGTATACTGACACTTCGGTGCATGGATGTAGATACTGGACTATCAAGTGGCAGCTTTTCTTTGAATACATTCTATATTAATCTGTACTGAACACCAAGTCCCCAGCCTTCTGTTGTGGCAGTTGTGCTGTAACTGTAAGGGCTGGAAAAATCTGCTGAAGATGTTGACTCCAGTATCTTTTCTAGATGTTCAATCACTACTGCTAATTGAGTTACTTTCTAGTCAAGTCAGGACTAGATTGCATGCAATCTTATGCAAGTCTAAACTAAGATCAAATACTGGTTTGAGGTTGGAGTATTTTGCTTCTAAACCTGCTTGAAGCTGGGCAAATAGTATGTGTGTGGAGTGTTTCTTGTTTTGATTTTTAATAATTTGCGTCATATATAAAACTACAATAAGGAAAGGAGGCAATGGAGTCAAATTTTTCCATGCTCAAGCCACCATTCATATTACGAGGCCCTCAAGGACTTGTGGTGATCATGCTAATTTTAATTTAGTCTTGTTTTTAGGGCAATGCTGTCTACTCTGAGTGAGCTTTGTACGGAAGTCTTGGGTACAACCCCCAAAGATTGTACTTGCTAAATTGTGTGTCCTAGCGTGTCCTCATACCAATAACAAGAAGAATAGCAACACCAATGCTAGTTGTGGTAGTAGTGAGTAGAGTAGTAGGAGTAAGTAAAAGAACAGTGTAACAAAAGGTGTTATAGTCTACCAATATGTTCGGAAAATTAACAGTCTTCCGTGATATGTGACCATTTGAGGTTATTCTATTGAAAAGCATATCTGAAATCAATTCTCATAGTGTGAAACATATCCGGAATCCATCCATGCATTTGCAATTGTAAACTCAATTGATGATATGGAATTTGTTTCGCAATGACTGGAACATATGATCACTCTGACACTATGATTTTCCCTAGCATTGTTGGGCATGCGAAATATATGTGTGTAGGAGCACAATATGCACAATTGTTTTAGATGGTTAGAGGCCAGTTTCTATCAACTCGTTTCTTGCATCATCCGTATCACTTGAATACATATGATCATGGATCATTGTTTCTGCAGATGATATTCCCTTGGATGTTTGATGAATATCATGCTTTGAGGCCTTTCAAACAAGCCGCTTGTTTGTTAGCTGAGAAGAATGATTGGCCTGCTCTATATGACATTGCCTCTCTCAAAAATAACAAGGTTTGCTAACCTTCTGTTTTAGTCAGTATCTCTGCATCTTTCCTGCGCCATAACATTTTGCAGAAACAAAAGCTATCACGAGTCTTATGATATTTCACGGGTACGGTTATTTATTTGGAACTGATGTTCAAAATAGTTGTTTTTGGAAGGATAAAGCCATGGTTGGAGTTTAAGGTTTTGGCAAAATCCCACCACCCGGTTCTCAAATCATTGGAAATCGGAGCAAAGTTCATGGTTATAAGCAGCAACCCCTAATATGAAACGTACCATGTATATGCTTTTGTTCAATTTTTCCTTAGATTTTGTTGTTTTAAAATTTTGGCAGGTACCTGTTGCAGCTGCTGTTTATTATGAAGATCTCTATGTCAACTTCAAGCTGGTCATGGAGACGGCTCCTCAGATAGCAGGGATTAGGCTGTGGATAACTAATGAATATATGCATTCTGGTCTAAGAGACGGAGGGGGTCAGGTTTTGGATCATTTGTTGGGAATGCTAAACGGAAAGAAACCATTGTTTTGATCGTGGATTGCAATTATTATATGACACACTATTCCTCTGTTTCTTGCTGCTATAAGACAAGTTCTCGAAACTAGATTCATCATTCTCGACTCTAGCGAGTAACCTATGGAGCAGTCTTGTAATTAGCCTAGCATGCTCTACTCAAAGCTTTTGATAAGCATGGAGTGTAAGAATTGCGTCAGTGTGGAGGACCGTTAACACTTGACATCATGAACTTAAAATTGGTGCCTGTGTATTTTATGAGGAAATTTTCTCTACATCTGAAGCATACATGAACTGTGGTCTTTCCTGCTAGTGAGCAACTTTGATGTACCACATATTCAGGTTATGAGGGTTTTTAGCATAATAATTAACAGAACCAAAAAAAAAATGACTATTTCTGGAAATAATAGAGATTTTGAGGAATAGCACTTGGCATTTTAGAGATTCTGTTGACATTATTCTGTTACTATTATAGTCAGAAGGATGAGACATAGTGGCCGAGGTTAGGCCGACAATTATGTCGAGTGGAACGGATTTGTGTAAAAAAATTCTCTATCTATACCTTATTCGTTTATATAAATGAGTTCAACTATTATATCTATACACGAATTATTTATTAGACGGGTTATCCGATACAACTCGTATGTCACTTATTAAATAAGAAAATAGGTTAGAGTATTTTGAGTACACACAAAAAATCATCAATTTGTAACACGTTACACACGTTTGACTTGTTTACTATAACAATAAATCATGATTGAGCAAAAATATAAAGACAAAATAAAAACATTAAATGACTACTAAATTTGGATGAGTCTAAGAGATGAGAAGTGTGAGATTTAACCTTTTTTAAAAAAGTTATAATACAATTATTAACATGTTAAAACGAGTTTATGGTTTAAATACGAAAACCGGTCCCAAAATCGGGTGGGTCTATTAAAAGACGGTTTATGTAAGGAACTCGGATAAACCGGTGAACCGGTCAAAATCCGATAAACCAGCGTGAACCGGACGGGTTTAACAAATGGACCGGTTTAATTTCATTTTTATAAAAGTGAGATTTTTTTCAACTTTTTTGCATTTTCTGTTTTTTACCCTTTTGTTTTGCCCAAAATCGTTCCAGACCAGCGACCACAGGTTCCACTCCAGCACCAGCAGCGATCAGCCTCCACTCCAGCAGCGATCAGCCAACGACTGACGATCAGCAGCGATCAGCCGCCACCACCAACGACTGACCAGCCTCCAGTCCAGTGAGTTTCCCTCCCTCTCTCTCTCTCTCTCTCTGTCTCTTTTGCGCTTCAATCCATGAAGAGATGGTTGAGGATTCAAGTGGGAAGGTTGTGTCCGTCATGGATTGGTGGTTTTGATTCAAGTGGCTGTACAGATCTTTTTTCAGTTAATCTTTTATGTGTTTCAGTTTTTCTGTTTAATTTTGATTATGTAGTTGTCATTAACGGCACCCTCTTTGGTTTGAAACTTTCAAGTTCAGTAAGAATCAATAGTGTCAAGAGTGAAGACTCTGAAGACCTAAGGCCCAGGGTTCCTGATGTAATCCTGCAAAACCATTAAGTACTTTGGGATACAGGGACTTAGTAGTTACAGAAATTCAAACTCTAAAATATAAGGGTATTGCAGTGAACTTGGATTTCATTGTCGATTTCTTTTGAACTACCACCGATATAGTCAGTCCATATTAATGCACTTTACACAAATTCATTGCCTATGTGATGTAAAAAAACAACGACATGACTATTACCCGCAGATTTGATACTTTGAATAGAGTTGTTTCTACCTTTTGATGGATTTGGTTTGGCTGATTGTGGAAATTCCAACCAGCAGCTTGAGCATTGTTCAGAATTCTATAAGTCCATTACAACAAATATAGGATGCAACAAGCTTGAAACAAGCTTTATTTATTGATAGTAGTGGTAATATTTGTATTTTCTAGTGGAACTAGGCAGTGGTTGGATAATTTATTTTCAGTTTCGTTTATTTGAGTCTTTATGTTATGCTCATGTGCTTTGTTTTGTTTTCATGTGTCTTGCTTACTAAAGTTTGAGGATGAAGTTTGAAAGCTTTGAAGAGTGTAAATTACATGGATTATGTTTAGATTGATACATTGTGGAAGAGTTGGACTTAGACTTGGAGGCTTGAACTTCAATAGAGGTATTTTTCTCTACTTAAGTTTACATGTTTGATGTTATTTTTATAATTATTGTGATTTTTTAGCCTATTTATTATTATTTATTATTTTTTTATTATGTTACCTGTCCGACCCGGTCCCTTCACCCGGTTGATGTCCAGGCCGGGTTTTAAAACTATGCTAGTCACCGACATGTCCGGTTTCTCCTACTGAAAGAGAGGACAGAAAACTTTCCACTTCCCCTCGTTACCGTTACCATTACCGGTCACTGGTAAACAGCTCTCTGTTTCACATTCAGCTAAACTCTTAAACTGTCTTCTTCTTTTTCCTCTTCTCCACCCTCCCCATTGTTAGGGTTCAAGCGACCAATCCTCGTATAGGTCTTCTACTCTTCTAGCATGCAATCTAGGTATATTTACATTTGTGTATTAACAATAATATCAGACTCTGAACGTTTCTTTGGTCTTGTTTTTAGTTTTTGTGGAAATGCAGAGATCGTGTACATCATTGGCTCGATCTCTTGGAAGAACGAGAGGGTTTTGCACATCAAAGAACAGCGATAAGATCGTAGCTTCTGTGCTCTTCGAGAGACTACCCATCGTTATTCCCAAAATCAACCCTTTTGTTTACGTTTTTCAAGAGTTCTCGTAAGTATTACATATTCAATATTCTTTTTTTGTTTTGGTTGCTTTGAAAATGTAGGAATTAGTGCTGAAATCGCAAAAGCAATGCCTATTTTTTTTTTTAATTGTTAGCTGAGTAGAGCTTCCCATTTTGTGGAAATTAAAATAGGATGAACAATATTTTTGACTTCGAATTTCATTCCATTTCTCTTCATTTGTTTATCTCTGCTTCCAATCAAAGGGTTAGAGGTATAAACAAAGAGAACAAGTATGGAAACTAATTCATTTAACTACATTCAACCAATCATATTGGAACTGGGCTTAGTTGAGCGGAATGTTTGGCATTTTGGAAACTATTGAGTATTTGGTGCTACATTTATGAATACTTATTTAATGTGTTATTGCATTGGCTGATTTTAGGGTTTCTTATGCTTTAATTATCTTTTGTGTTTTTAGGTTCCGGTGGAGACAGCAATATAGGCGGGCATATCCTGATGAGTTCTTGAAAAAATCTGATGCCAGGTAAAATTTATAATAATTGACTGAAATTCTTGCATGAATTCTGATGTTTATAATCTAACACGCAAGTGTTAAATGATGCTATTTGTTATCTTTTGACAAGTATTTTACACTGGTGGTGTAATTGGAATGTTTTTGTTGATATATTCAGACATACAAAAACACTCATTATAATCTCCGCATAGGTTTTTTTTGAGCTTATTTCTGAGTTTTCCAATAAATTGATGGTTCTTTAGTATCCTGATCATGTTTATCACTCTTACGATCGATACAACTAATGAGAGAAGCGAAGTACTATGAACTTATGGTGCCAGTGACCTTTCTGCTGGGAACAAAATGTAGAAATGTAGCTTTGGATCAAGTACGATACTGGAGACTGGATACATGATAAATTTGCTTCTTAAAGTCTCTCCTTGTCTGATTGTAGGCCCCTGTGAAAATCTGACGCATGATATCTCGTTTATTGGATTTAAAGTACATGAAAGAATTTACAATAGAACGCAAAATTATTGTTCACTCAGGGTCTCTGTGCTATTTTAACAGGTCTTTATGGATTTGTAGTGTGACTTTGAGCTCTATGGATTTGTTGGAGCTGTACCACAGTCATAGTTGTGCATCTGGATTGGCTCTTCAACTTGATTTTATCAGAAAGGATACCCCCATTTTTTTGCATTGTGCTACTGTTGTGTTCCAATCTGTTTTATTCCATGTTTATTTGCAACTTTTAACTCGTAGCATTATGTTGTTACTTGTTACTCTCTCTCTCTCTCTCTCTCACACACACACACACAAAGGTACACACCCACACCCTCACACACGCAACAAATGCAAAGGTGAACTTTGGCAAGTTTGGCTTTCCTCAAGTATAATGGTTAATATCTATGTTTGTAACCAGGGGCAAAGGTGAATACCAAATTGATTATAAACCAGCTCCTCGGATCACTGAAGCTGACGAAACTAATGATAGAAGGTATTATGTGATTCAACAATGATTTACATTTTTCCATTTTCAAGAATTAGAAGGAAAGATGCTTCTCTACTTGAGCAAATCTTGTTGCTTTGAGCACATTCTGTTTCATTAGAGAAGGGCAGATCCTTTATGATCACCATTGGCCATAAGAACCACTGCCATCAGCATCACCTCTCAGGAAGAACACCTTAAACGTCAGCTGCAGTGGGATGTGAAAGTTAAAAAATTAGGTGGCAACCCCTTTATAACTGTAAGAGCTTTTTAGCAAGTAATATATAATTCTAATGAATTTTTCGAACTTCTGTTGAGGTTGAGGATTGGGTTGTGCCTCAACTCCCTATACCGTTGTCGATCAGCAGTTTCAGGATTTAGGTTTGTGAGTGAGTCATGAGAATTTATCTCAATTCTCAAGACTCTTTTCTTCCAGTCAAGGTGGGGGGTGGTTCATATTACTGCATGAGGATTTATGTTTGTAAGAAATGCTAACAGCCTCTCATGAGTATATGCCCAAATGTGCCCGTGCCTCTGAAATTCGAAAAGTTACAGATCCTCTTTCATGGGTCGACCTGTGTCTAAATGTGTGTGTCTGGACCGTACGATCAATGATTCATGATTTGGGTATATCGATCCCAAATAGGGTGAGTTCACGATCTAAATCACTAAAATGTATTAATCCAAATTGTCCACGTAACACAAATATAAAATATATTTTAATTAACTACGTGTATATAGATTTTTAATTATATGTTATTTTAAATAATGAAAAATCGAGCAAAAATGTAAGATAAATATTAACTTACTTAGTGTTTATGGATGTTCGATAATATATAATGTTGTATAGTGGTGAAAACGACCTAAATAAGATTTTCAGAATGAATTGCGACCTATGAAGCACGGATATTTTGTTGAGGTGGACGTACCTATATCTAATATCGTATCGGATACGATATTCGTCAGATATTCGAAAATACGTATCGGATGTATTTTTTATGTATTCTATAATAATTAAATATTAGGATACTTCAAGGATATTTTTTATGGTTGAGCAACATATATAATTTTTGAGTTAAACTTTTAACATCTATTTTCGAATTCACATATTATACAATATATTAACAAAAAAATCATATTACTCCAAAAGCACATGAATGTTTTTTAAGTATTATCTATAATTACATGTCAAAAAAGCATAAAATAAAGTTATTATATTATTATTTTAGCAAAAATTACTTCTAAATATTAGGTAAATATTAGCTTTTATTCTTTTAATTAGTCACTTCATTTTGTGAATATATTACAACGATACGATAAATATTTTCTTGAAACTAAAAAAAATTATTAATTTTTCTTATTGTATATTAAAGAACTATCAAAACATATAAATATTAAGATGGTTGAAAATAATAAAAATATTAAATATATTTTATTATAGCCGTATCTTGGCCGTATCCGTATCCTATTTTTTTAGATTTTGTCGTATCGTCATATCTATATCTATGCTTCATAGATTGCGACTCATACCATATTAGTAAATCTACCTCTATCGTACCGTGTACTTAAGAAAGTCTCGTACCCACGAGTCCAAGTGGCTGACTGCCTCTATATCCCACTTGCATGTACAACATCTAGTGGAAATGGGTTGTCTTTTCTTTTCTCCAAGTTATCGATTTTTTTTTTCTCAAGGGACATTAAGTGGGAAAAGATAACCTCCTTGGAAGGTAGCTACTCCCTTCATATGCCTTCCCAAAGGAACTGGACAGTCTGCCCAGTTGACCATTCTATTTAACATCACACTACATCCCATTGTACTAACAGTGTTTGTTGGGCCCCTGCTGTTCATAGCGCATAGAAGTAATTTAATAGCCAGTAGAAGCTGCTTTTTTGAGAAAGCTAGTTGAAAACTGAAGCTTTCCTCATTTGCATGAATTCCAGACTAATTTCTAAATGTGCATGCAACTCAGGTAGTGATATCCAAAATTGTACACTCGTTTGTTTCAGGTCATTACAACGGGCGCTGGACAGAAGGCTGTATCTCCTCATATATGGAACCACAGACGGGGCTTCCAGTGAGAAGCCTGTATGGCATTTTCCTGAAAAAGTTTACGGGTCTGAAGAGACGTTACGCAAGGTGATAGTTGCTTTGTACTCTTAGCTCTTGTTTTCTCATATTCTTTGAGTAATTTGGATTTCAAGTGTCTGCAGTGTGCAGAATCAGCATTAGAATCTGTTATTGGAGACCTTTCCCACACGTACTTTGTTGGAAATGCTCCCATGGGCCATATGGTTATACAACCAGCAGAGAATGAGAAGGATCTTCTGTCACTCAAGGTATGGAAATTTCCAAATTTTCGTACTTTGGTGTATGCTACCATCAGACTTTGGAAACCTTCTCCGTAAATTTTGCTTCAAACACATCAGCCCATCCATAGTTTCTACTTTCATGGGAAGTTCAATCATATGCTTTTATTGCTTTGGCTTCTTTCTGATATTGATTAAGCTGCGTATTTTCCCCCTTGTTTACCTGGCCATTTTGTCAGCGTTTCTTTTTCAAATCTCAAGTGATCGCGACCAGCAAGTTTAAGATTGAGAAGTGTGAAGATTTTGTTTGGGTGACCAAGGATGAACTGTTGGAGTATTTCCCCGAGCAAGGCGAATTCCTTAACAAGATGATCATCAGCTGATGCTGCTTTGTTTCTCAATTCCAAGCTTACAATAAGATTTGTTTTAGGGATCAAAACCATGGATTACTTGTATCTCTCTCTGTATTAGAAAGCAAATTCTTGCATTCCTCCTGTCAATAGGAAGTTTAGGCTGCTGATTGCCAAAATGAATTTTGCCGGGCTTCATAAATCTGTCTGAAGTTTCGAGTTCTGGATTTTGATCTTACGAGGTTATTGAATGTATTGCAGCCTTTTTATGAACTTTATTCCTATTTTTCATCTGCAGATACTCCGTCACTCTTGCTCTCTTATCTTGCTTGTTTATTTATATTTCTTTCTTCCTCTTTTTTTTTTGGGGCTGATAAGCGAACTAAGCTGCTCAGGGCTTGGTTCGTTTTCTAAATGAGCTGAATTATTTGGGTTCGATTTGTTTTGGATTTGGTTTGTTTTTTAAACGAGTTTGAACAATTTTTTTAAGCTCGAGTTCGTAAAATTCGGTTTGTTTATATATAAAATAATTAAGTTATTCAGGATTGATTCGTTTTGGACTCGGTTCAAGTTTGACTCATTTTCTAAACGTTTTAAACGAGTTGAATTTAAATAATTTTTAAAATTTATTTAGAAAAATCAACTTAATATTCTCGACTTGAGTTCGTATAATTCAATTTGATTATCAATTCTATTTTTCTTTTAAAATAAATTAATTTTGATGACACGAATTAATTGATATTGGTATCTATATATACGATAATCCTATTTGGACGTATATATAAGAGCATAATTTATTGCAACATTTAAGGACAGCACTATGGAATTGCACCCTTTTTTATTTATTGGCTAATATAAATAAGCACGTGTTCTATTTTTTATTTTATTAATTTGCGATCCATAGTTATAATAGATTAACTAAATCTAAAATCTGCAATTATCAAAAAAATTCGGTGCACCGCACACTCAAAGCACAGATCCTAGGACACGGCTAAATCACGCTGCCCCACGAGTCGAAACACGTGTCACCACCAAAATAGCGCAGAGACTAGCCCAAGAACTTGCAACGTGTCGCCAACACATAAAATGCACAAACCCTTGTTTGCAAAGCATTCGTCTCTCTCTCGCTCTCTGGAGACAGGAGTGTGTAAAGCTTATTCGTTGGTTGAGTGGCAATGGATTTGATCGACAAGGCGAAGAACTTTGTGGCGGAGAAGGTGGCGAACATAAAGAAGCCGGAGGCGAGCATCACCGATGTGGATCTGAAACACGTAGGCCGTGACGGTATAACATACCAGGCCAAGGTGTCTGTTAACAATCCCTACGGTGCACCCATTCCCATCTGCCAGATCTCTTTCACCCTCAAAAGCGCCGGCAGGTTTTCGTCTGCTTTCTTCCTCTAGATTTTCCTAATAGGAATACGATTTCAATTAATATGCCACTGAAATTTCTTGTCAAATTTGGTAGGTCTTTGCATTAAATTTTGGTTTTCTACGATTGGTAATCGTTAGATCACGATCCAATATTCAGAGACTATAGGGCAGAGTTTTCTGATCGCACTATTCATATATATACTAGACATAATCCGGTACGATAAAATATAAAATTCGATTGTTTGATTGATCTTACTATATTAAATTTTTTCAAAATATATTAAGTACAAGTTAATTAAATAGCAAATCTCACTTAAATTGACAATTTACCATTACGTGATGTCTAAAGTGTAATGGAGCGGATTTCGATGGAGTCACTCAATATTTTTGGGCTTGGTGGGATGTTTGAGCAATTTGGATTTCATTTGTCAATTTAAAGCTTTGTTACTATGTTTTATCATTCTAGTTGTTTTCTTGTTTTCAAGTAGTAGTGTAAGTCATATTGCCTTGAAATATTGGTTGTGTCAGATTTCCATCGGAAATAATTTTTATTTACTGGGTTTGTATTTGTTAGGTTTAACAGATGGGTCCAGCTCCTTGGCTCTTAGTTTTTAACAGAAGTGCTGATCATCGGTATCGTTTTGCACCCAAAAAAAATGGTCATTCTATTAACAAAACGACGACCGCTTCCACTTTTAATTTTCTTTTCCAATAGCAGAGGATGGATTGGCTCTTACTACTTCACCCTATTAAAATTAAACTTAAACCCGTTTATTTTCTGTCAAATTTGCAAGGCATATGAATTAGTTTTCCTGTTTGGTGAATACTTAAAATAATGTGTCCACTTATATTCTGTAAATGCGGCTAGGGTGATTGCTTCGGGTACCGTTCCGGACCCAGGGTCGCTGAAGGGAAATGATATTACGCTACTGGAAGTGCCAGTGAAGGTGCCACACAGTGTATTGGTGAGCTTGGGGAGAGACATAGGTGCAGATTGGGATATAGACTATGAATTGGATTTGGGTCTCACCATTGATCTTCCAGTCGTTGGAGACATAACCATTCCTCTCTCCAGTAAGGGAGAGATCAAGCTGCCTACTCTCACAGACTTGTTTAAGTGAAAACTATATATGTACTTTTTCTCCAAGTTGGTTATGTTGTAGTCTTCTTTAATCACATTTTCTGGTACTTTTATCTGAAATTTATATATCGGGTGTCCTTTTTAATAACTTGTATATCTTGTTGGAATGGGGTTTGTATTTATTATTATCATCAGTATAACTGGTTGATTAAAGATTTGACAATAGCAGGAAGACCGTATTTATGAGCGTCAGTGAGTGTGGAAGACGTTGACACTTGACATCATGAACTTAAAATTGGGGCTGTATTTATGAGGGAAATTCTCTTCATCTGAAGCATACATGAACTCTGGTCTTTCCTGATGGTGAGCCACTTTGATGTACCACATATTCAGTTTATGAGGGTTTATAGCATAATAATTAACAGAACCAAAAAAAAAAATGTCTATTTCTAGAAATAATATAGATTTTGAGGAATAGCACTTGGCATTTTAGAGATTCTGTTGACATTATTCTGTTACTATTATAGTCAGAAGGATGAGCCATAGTGGCTGAGGTTAGGCCTGGTACTGGTGGTGTAGTGTGAAGCAGTTTCGTGTCGGATGGAATGAGTTTGTGTCAAAAAAAATTTTCATCCATACCGTATTCGTTTATATAAGCGAGTTAAAATATTACACTCATACACGAATCATTTATTAGAGGGATTATTTGATACAACCTATGTGTCACCTGTTAAGTAAGAGAATATTCAATCCATTCTTAAATATATGTCGTTTTATATAATTTTTTTTGTTCCATAATATTGTCATTTAATGAAATTAAAACATTATTAATATTTTTTCTTTCAAATTTACTTTTAACTTTTCAATGCATTAGATAATGTAAAGGTTAAGTGTTTTTTATATTTTTTCCCTTCTTAATATGTATTGAATAAAATTATTTTAGTCTTGTGCAATTATTTTTTACTCATATTAGAATTATTTAATAGCTGTCTTAATCCCTGTGCAAAAACTTTAAACGACAGATATTTAAGAACAGAAGGAGTATATAGAGTATTTTGAGTACACACGAAAAATCATCAACTTACAGCACATTACACATGTTTGACTTATTTACTATAACAATAAATCATGGTTGAGCAAAAAAATAAAAATAAAAAATAAACATTAAATGACTATTAAATTTGAATGAGACTAAGAGATGAGAAACGTAAGATGAGACAGATGATGAGGACTTAACTTTTTACAAAAAAAAAAATTATAGTACAACTGTTAACAGGTTAAACGGGTTGAAACGAATTTATGGTTTAAACACGAAATCGGTTCATTTATTTTACGAGTCAGCCGAGTTAATCCGTTAACTATCTAAATTCGTTAAATTTGTGTCGATTTTTTAAGACTTGTCTAGAATTGTCAGGCCTAGATGATGAGGTTCATCCTGACATTAAGTATTGTTTGGACATGTATTTTTAAATATATATTTTTTAAGTAACGTTGTTTTTTGCATTTTATAGTTTTACTATTTTCTTGTCTCAATTTACTCTTTTCTTCTAAATTTAGTGACAGCTTAGTAATATACATATACATGTCTATAACTATAACATTTATGTACTAAGATGCTTCTAGATTGCTTCGTAAAAGAGTAGTAATGCATTAGGTGTCATTTGATAATACTAGTTGGTGCACACATGCATTGTACGTGAATCCGTTTAATTATAAAATATTAAACATTCGAGTTGTGGATTACTTTTTTTAAATTCTATCATTTCAGCAAACATTCATAAAAAAAAAAAAAACAAATGTTATTAGAATAAATAAATTAAATATGGAAGTTTAGTCTCCGTCATCTTTTAAAATATAGATGAGTTGCTTAACAATACTTATTTCGTCCGCAAATTCTTAAGAGATACTGTATAAGATATGACTATCTTTTTAACCTTTAAAATTAATCTCCTCAACCACAAATACTATCTTTGATGTTGAGCAGGTTGGGGTAAGTTTTGAAGATGTCGACACATATAATACCATCTTTAAAATGTTATTGGGACTAATATAATTTGTTGACATAATAATATAATTTCATTAAAATTATTAAATTAACATCAAGTTTTAATATTTAATGAGACTCACAATTAATTTAATGGTCATAATGAATTATGACAATAAATTAATTTTAAATAATATTGTTCTCTTTTTTTTATTTTAATAGAGATGGCCAAATATGGTATTTAATAGTTGTACGGTTGTTGGGTCTGATGATTGCTTTCCATCATGCTCAACATTGCAAGTTAATAAAATGAACCAAGCCAGCTAGGTTCTAGACTTGAGGCAGTTTTGCAAATATTGTCAAGTGTCGATATATAGTTTCATTTGCACAATTTAAAATGTCTAAAAGAATAAAAATTTGAAATGTTCATCATGTGCTAGAGCTAGAAGGGGAAAATCTAATGGAGAACTGTGTGTAATATCATCTATTCCAGTGTAGTGTAATTTAATCTCTGGATAAATATTTTTCTATTTGGTTAACGCTATAGAAAGAAATCACGTAATCACTTGCATAGACTATCTCCCGCCTCATGTCTCACCATTTCTTCCTTTCTTTTTAAAATCAATCGTAGGGATGCGAAAGAAAGTGCCAAAATTTCACTGCACCACTCATGTAGAGACTCGCCGCAAACACATGCAAAATTGAAAATTATATGTATGAGAATTTTTGGATGATATCTAAATTAGCAATTGTAAAATCTTTTTTTGCTTGTAAAAGTTGAGAAGTCGTGTCCAATAGCATGCGAAACAATGTATACATTAACATCATATGTATACTATCATAAATTACAAAACCAATACTGAAGAATGTTCGACTAAAACTATTTACTCAGATTAAAATTTTTCTCATGATACTCACAAACATCACACCATTTGCAGCAGTGGCACTGACCTTGAAAAGGATTAGGGACATAATCAGAATTGGTTTGCTATGAAATCAAGATTTATAGGCTACAGTTGCTCCTTATTGTAATTGGTCAATTTTAGTTTACCAAAGAGGCATTGAACCCTTCCAACAGGAATCATGGCATAACATGCCTCTAATTGCATTCATATAAGGGCAAGCTTAAACCATGATTTCAACAAGGTTTGATATGTGAAGTCCTAGCCTAATGGTAAGCACATCAAAAGTAAAGTTTGAAAAAAGCGACTCTTTTATCTTTTTTCTATCTCAACCTAATATATTGTGTTTGGGAGTTTTTCTAATTCTACAAGCCATCTCAACCAAAAAATCAAAAAAGTATTTTATAGTAGTTTATAGATATAGATAGTGGACAAAAAATAGGAGACTAAGATGATTTTACCTCCTCACAAGAAGATACTTCTTAGTCTACCAATGAATATACTACAAAATGTACTTGTGAATCAACGCATACATAACAATCACTACGCTTCAACCTATCAATAAAAATAAGTAAATGACACACTATACTTCTCATATTACAGTCTCAACAGTTAATGACTACTACATGTCGTCTTAAAAGCAAAAAAAGCATCGATATGTCCAGCTTGTCAATGTTAAATCCTTAACTCCTAATTCATATTAAAAGAAAATGCATTAAAATGAACTACATGAGCAACTTACCCAGAACATATTAGATAATGTCAAGGTGTACACCAAACAGATGCAATGAAAAAATACACAACAGTAAATTCTAACTCATCATATATCAACAGATGATACTATCGATATGAATGGTTTTGAAAAATGTATATTACCTATAAATAAGGTTGAATCAGAATAGGACAAGCTTAAAAGAATGTCAAGCACGTAATCTCAAAGTCTACATCTAGAGAATGCAACACACATTTGTCAAGGAAGCTAACTTATATTAAACTTTCCTTTGCACAAGGCAATGCAGCTGTAACACCATGCATCACACAACTCGCAATAACCATAATTACAACATAATTAATTATCTATTATAATATTAACACATAGAGGGAACTCATGCTATAGCCCAATATCACAAGCATATATCACATCCCAAAAGCCTAACCTTGCAACAAAGAAAAACATAAGCAACACATCAAGTTGAAAGTACAAAGAGACACACAAATGAACTGATTGCAGCATCATCATGCTCCATTAATTTTGATAAAAACTAAAACAGGTAGAAAAGCCAAATTGTACTAAATCTCAAGACTTTTGGTTAAAGATAGAGCACTGGAATTCAATATGAACAAACTGTCAAGCATCGTCAATTCCAAATTTGTGAACCAACACAGCTAAATGTTGTATTTGCAAATACTTTTTGTCATAGATAGGTACTTCTATTTGTCACATTGGCAGAGTGAGAAAAACAACATATATGGGTTGTCCATGTGTCAACCTTCATGAATTATTGTCTCAATAATGTAATGTTGACCAAATTTTGGGACCAAATCAAGAGCTCAAATGATATGACAACATATTATTTGGAGTCTTTATTAGGGCTCAGATGACATATCACCAAATAAAGAAGCCCAAGCCAGCTGTCATGTCATTTGGGCTCTTGATGTGATCCTAAAATTTGATCAATATAACATTACTCTTATTGTCTATAAAGGTCACAATTGATAATAATAACAATCAAGAGTCGAATAGTTACAAGCATAATTGCCAAATCGAGATTAGCATTGTGAATCAAAGTTTTTATTTTCAAATCAATAATTAAATCAAATCAGGAATCATAAGTTTAAGTAGGAAATTCACATTACATGACAAATAAAATATGCAAACAATAAAGATTTATGGAACAAATACTTACGATATAATAAATCATATTTTTTCTTAGGTCTATACTTCCAAAATTGTTTATTAACATTGTATTTTCATTTTTTTAGGGAGAATTACACTCAGACTCCTTGATGTTTGTCACTTAATCACTTAGACTCCCTGATATTGAAAATATTACACACAGACTCCTAATGTTTGTCACTTAATCACTTAGACCCTCTGATATTTGAAATATTACACAAACTCCCTGAGGTTTGTACACGCGTAACAGTTAGACTTTTTGTGTAAATATATCAGTTAATTAATTACACTTAAAAACCCTGAAGTTTATAAGTATATAATATTTAGACCCCTTAAGTTTAAAATATTATACTTAGACCAAAAATACTCTAATCAAATATAGAATATTAAATATTTTAAATTTTACAACCAAAATTCATATTCTATTGTATCATTTATTGAAAGAAAATTAAAAATAAAAAATTTAATTTTTTTTAAAAAAATCGTAATTAATATACAATTATAGTATGTATTGAAATAAAACTAAAAAAAAATAAAAAAATGGGTCTAAGTCATTCATAATAGAACATGAATTTTATATCTAAAATTCATGTTCTATTATGTCATTTATTGAAATAAAATCAAAAATAAAAGTCTAATTTTTTTTAAAACAATCATAGTTAGTATATAATTATACTATTTATTAGAATAAAACTAAAAAATTAAATAAGGGATCGAACTGTAATGGACACAATATCTTTTAACTTTAATTGGTATTTTAATTTAGTCGTTTAAACGACTAAATTATTTTTTAATAGATAATATAATTGTATACTAATTACCAATTTTTAAGAAAAAAATTAAATTTTTAATTTTAATTTTATTTCAATAAATGATACAATAGAAAATAAATTTTGATTGCAAAATTTAAAATATTTAATATTTTATCTTTAATTGCAGTATTTTTTGTCTAAGTACAATACTTTAAACTTAAGGGGTCTAAGTATTATATATCCATAAACTTCATAAGGCTCTAAGTATAATTTATTAACTGATATATTTAAAGCAAGGGCCTAGGTGTTACGCGCGTACAAACCTCAAGGGATCTGTGTGTAATATTTCAAATGTCAGAGAGTCTGAGTGATTAAGTGACAAATTTTAAGGAGTCTAGGTGTAATTCTCCCTTTTTTTTTTTTTAATGATGATCACAAGGGAAGAATGGGATTATGCCTTTCCTGTACTCATTTTCTAATTTGGCCATCATAGAAAAAAAAATTGCTGTCAAAGTATAAATCCTTCCTTTCCCAATCTAAAAACATATTAATCGAACAAAATTAAAACTCAGTTGAATTTAAAAAAAGGCCTTGAACTTTCTATACATAAATCCAACAGAATATTCGTAACTTCTAACGATATGGACATTCTTTAATTACTAAGCAAATATAGATAATGCATATCAAAATTACACACATATAAGTTGAGAGAAGGCTTGGACAAAAAACAAACCTCTAGTAATTCTCTATGTCTTGAAGTACCTATAAAGTAGACCAAAACAAAATAAAAAACAAGAATACATATCAGAAACAAACGAATTGAAACTTTTGGAGAAAATATAAAATGGCCATAAATCGAACCATTTAAAAATTAACAAAAGACATGATATTACATTAATCATGAAATAATTCAAAAAAAATATAATACATAGATCAATCAAATAGGAGAAATTGTTGTGCAATCCAGTGTAGTTAAAACAGTACCTCTGGTTTTGAGAGATAGAAGGGGGAGAGAGGATGAGAAATGTAAGCAGCAAAAGAATTTGAGAGGTGTAGTGGCATCCGTTGTGGTGATGATGGATGTTTCTTCTGAACTGTTTTTGTTGATCTGAGTCCTGAAAAAAAAAGACAGAGAAATCAAAGAAGACGAAGAAGGATGGGAGAAGATGAATAAGAGAAATCGGAGAGATAAGACGATATAGGGATGCAAGACAAAGAGGCATCCGTTAGGAGACTGTAAAGGTGTTAACATTAATCGTGAAGCAATTGGGTGGAGAGAGAGAGAGAGAAGGAGTAACGACTGAAAAATAGGGAATCAATTTGGTGGAGTTGATAATTTAGGTTCACTGTAGCATTAATTTTGAAGGATAAGAATGGAATATTTGTGTTATTAGAGGGTAAAGCTGGGGAAAAAAGTTAAGTATAGATAAGTAATTCAGGTAAACTTTGTAAATAATTTACTATCACTTAATAAGAAGGTAAAAGACTCTCAAAGTTCAAGGTTTCAATTGAATTTACATTAAAAATTAGGGTTAAACTAGAAAAATAAAAGTTTTACATGTTAATTGGCATTTATAATAGTATAGATATAGATAGATACATATAGATATAGATATAGATATAAATAAATTACATATAATTTAATAATACTATTAACTCCAAAAAGATATAATAGAGAATAACTATTTTATTGAGGTTATTTAAGTCAAACAACAAATTTTCACCTCAGGGTGCTTTTAAAAGTAACTAGTTGGTGCACATAATTTTAAAATATAATTTTGTTTCTTATTTGTTATGGCATGGAGTTATAAGTTTATTTGTACAAAATTGAGCATTTTGACACGAGATCTTAAAAGGTAGTTTCGTGCTATTTATCATTCAAAGAAAAGGATTTGGACACATTAACTGAATTTGAGTGAAGTATGTAACTCATACATTCCTAATTAAAAATGAATATATGACTCGTATATGTTATTAACTTAAGGACTCAAAGGTAATATATAAAGGCATTGGAGGATGTTTGGTTGGAAATCGTCAATGGTCAGGTCAAAGGACATGAGAGCGAATAATTGAGATAAAATTACAAGTAAAAAGTTTAATCTGGAACAAGACTCCTAAACGAAGCATATAAGATCACAACCTTAAACCTAACTCATAAGAATAACCACCAGTGTCACCAGCACCCTTCCAAGCATTTGAATGACATTTTTTCCCTAACAATGAAGAATTTATTCAAGTCATAGTGGCAAAAACAAAACAGAGAATTGAGTCAACTTCTTCTATCTAGTCTAGTCGTTATGAACGAAGAAGATGGTAAGCCAACTTAATATAATTATAAGACGAGGTATGTTATCTCTCCAAAATCCCATTTCATTTCATCTGTATTGTTTACAATTGACCCAATAAATATTAGTTTGGCATTCTTAGATTATGATTTATGAACAAAATGTACAAATTTTTAATTTCTATCTATTAAATACAAATGAAAAAAAAAATATTTCCAAATTTCTGCTCCTTTTGCCTGCATTCTTAGTAAATAACCAACACATGCTTTTCCAAATAACTTCAAGATGTGAAAAACAAAAATGATAAAGGTTTCATGACTATTTTCTGTGGTAAAACTTAAATTCATGCAAACTAACATGGAGATATGCAAATGGGCACAAATCACCACATTAGGTGGTTTAGGAAACATATATTACTCAAAAGTATAAGCAAACTTTTTGTTTTGTGAAACTATGAATTGAGCTTTGTAAGTTTCAGTGTCTTCGCATTCCCATAATAATACAGGTGATTAGTGTGTTCTAGCATGAAAATTAGACAGGTAAGGTTTCAAGCACTTTTTTGATTTGCTAACATGAAATTCATGTGTAAAGTATCACAACAATATGCAAATGGAAAACAATCACCACATGGGCCATCTAGATTTCGTACATTATAATCGAAAGTAGAAACAACTTTTAGTTCTACAAGACTCATGATTAGAGATAGTAAGTTTCATTGCCTTCAAGTTCTCTTAATACTTGTTAGTCGGTTGATAAGTGTGTAGTTCTTGAAGTAAAATCTAACACTCTCTAAGCCGCTATCAAATAAATTTCTAGTGTAAAAATCTAAAGTTGAAAAGTCTTAGAAATCTGAAAGTTCATGTACTTATTGTTGTTAAGAAACAAAGTAAATTCATTTAAATGATGCAGCAACATTATGAGCTAATTTTTATAATCTGGAAACAAAGTGGGGAGTAATGTTTTGGGGTGGTATGCCCAAATGCCTTATTAGTGAACTCTTTGGCTGTTCTTTTTTGTCTTGTCGGAGTAATAATTCAAAAAAAAAAGCATAGGGCACCCTTAATTGAGTCTCTATGGGCAGCCTAAACAATAGTTAAAAGTCAGTTGAATTTATCACCCCTCCTGAGGGGTGCAATACATTAAGCTAATAAAGATGGAAAAATGCCAAAGATGGTACAACTGTAAATAGAAGTGTCACCATTGTCAATCTTGGAATAGTAATAATATTCCTAATCTCTCTTCTGCTTGGAAGCACAAAACCAAAACGCTAACATTAATGTATTCTCAATAGCCCTCTAGCTCCATGGCACGTAACAGCCAAATTTTCAAGATTTCCATACAAAACAATAATGAGACCAAGTATAACGTCAACAAAAAATTTGAGAATAACTAGTTATTTTCCCATCTATAAGCCAAAGATATAAGTTTGGCCCTAAGTTCCTATAAAATGTTATATATAACAGAATGTATGTGATTTTTTTTTATCTAAAAACGTATAAATACAATAAGTTGGAAACATCAGCCCCTTGATATTTGTTTTTTTGGTCTGGTTTCACTATCACAAAATATACCATATGCTAAAGCAAAGACTTTGAAATGGCTTCAAAGCAAGATCCAGCCATCAACATCTTTCCTACCCAATTCATTCTCTAGCTTCCTTGTTCACCAGCAGTATGACTCTACCAGGTGGGTTAACAGCACACTGTGTAGGGATGGAACCATTCCTGGTCATGGAGGCTATAAGGTAAGCCAATTGATTCTCCTTCCTTATGACTGCTTGGAATAGAATTGAGGGAAAAGTCCTCATATACTGCCATATATCCTCTTGCACCATTTCAATGTCCCTTAGCGTGTTCGATGTGCCTTTTGAGAGGCTGTCAATTAGTGCTTTCGAGATTCAAATAGTACAAATTCTATATTTTCTGAACACTCATAAGGATACATTAAACTATGTCCTTTATAAAGTGCTTAATTCGTGAAACACAGAAGTTTTGTCAAACCATCTCTTCTTCTCTTCATTTCCTTCAAAATCACTATAAAAACCAAGAGTTTGAAAAGCAGTAATTAAAATCTCAAATAAATACTTGATTATGACATTGTCCAAGAAATCTTCATTGTGATGCATCATAGAATCTCCTATCATGTCCATCTTCAACTTGCTTCGAACTTGTAATTAACAGTTAGTGTAAACAAATATTACTGCATATCAACATTCAGAAGTGGTGTTTGCACAATGTTTATAGTAAGAAGAAGTGTATAAGCTTACCATGGTTGCCTGTAGAAATTTAATCGATGCTCTTTCTCAGCACTACGACTTGCTTGCCCTGCTGTAAGCTTCAAGTCTCTGCCTTGAGATTCAATCAAAGTATTGATAAATTCCACTGGTGATTGGTTGAATCCAAGAAAGAATGCCCATCTGTTGCGATGCTCATGGATCTTCCTTATGGCCGTACAAGTTGCTTCATCACAAGCATCAATCTCTTTGGTTTTCTCTGTGTTGGCCAGCAAAGCATTGAATTCCTTCTGTATAGGGAAGGGCACATCCACCAAGATATCATAGCATGCAATGCCAGCCCTGAAAGCTTGATCTTGTGGTCCAAGTGAATGGGCTGCGAAAGAGACAAATGATGTGATATCTTCTGTGACACCCTAGTGAATTTTATCTTTCCTTGTTCAAATATTTTCTGAAGTGGTGGATCACAATTACAGAGAGGACACCAGCTCCAATCATGGCGGTGATGATATGAGCAAAAGTGGTCCAGGCGGTTTCTGGTGAAGAAATATTAACAGATTAGCGCCATTATTTTTATTATTGAATTTACAAGTAGAATTAAAAAAAAAAATAGAACAGAGGAATTAATTTGATGGTATTATTAATTTGCATGACAAAAGAAAGCATGATATTAAATGAACACATAGAAAGGTTATAGGTACACATTCATTTTAGAAAATGAGAATATGTTTGTTTCACAATGTCTTCTGTGGTACCTTTGCAGATATATCTGCTGCATTATTCTGAAGAGCAAAATGTTGCGTCAAAGCAGCTCTGGTTGCATAACTTGCAACACCAGCTGAATGAAACATGATGTTAAAAGTGATTGTAAGAATTCAGATCACAATCTATTTTTATCTCAATAGCATTTCAGAGCATATTCCTCACAAAAGTGGGGACTTACTGAATGATCTTGATAAGCTCCCTAAGCAGACTACGAACACAAATGCTGAAGGAAACAAAGGAGAAACAATGTCCATCAACATTCCTGCAACCAATGCCATGTTCTTCCATATCAAGTGAAAGAATACTTGATAACAAATATCTGAATTTCATATTCAACTACTCAGAAACTGAATCTATGATGAACGAGTGAGGCTATGACGGAGATAGAATAAATATTGAACTGATCTTTTCAGTATAATTTAGTCCAATGACTTCAATCATTTAAAAAAAGTACATTGTCCCATTCCCTTTCTTTTGGTTCCATTCCTCTGAGTGTGTGTGTGTGTGTGTGAGAGAGAGAGAGAGAGCAGTGTGTCAATGGAAGGGTCAAAAGGTTTCAGTCAAACAATAATGATTAAATTACTACCGAGATAATTCATAAGATGTGCAATTTAGCGCCACATTTTCGCATTGCTATCCAGGTTTGATCCCTACAAAAGAAAAGATCACAACGGTTAGTCTAGTAAATGGTTTGGCAGGTTAGAGCCAGTAACTGTTACCAGCCAAACTCATGAAGTGAATACTGAATTCCTCCACATCAAGGCCAAACAAAACAATGAACCATATACTTCATCCACAACAACCCATCGTGTCATCCAGATGGCGCATCCCATAAACAAAGGTGGAGTGGAAAATTTATACGCAGGCATTCTACTTTCAAATGAATATGGGTTTTTCAGACTTCTACTTGTGCTAACACAATAATTTTAAAAAAAGGGGAGAGATAGGAATTGCCGGATCATATTTAATGCTTTTAAAAAGTGCAGAAAATTGTCATCATAGGAAATAAATTAGGTGATCTGGCAAATGTCATAAAAGGGCAATTCGTACCTTCGCCTACAACCCATAATCCCCATTACAATGTGAACTTAGTGTGTTTCAAAGTTGTCTTCAGGCAAATAGTGAGCACCCTGTAGCAAAAGCTGTAGTGGAGCATGCTAAGAAGCTATGCGAGAAGCTTGGATCCAAAACTAAACACTTCACTGACGTAAACGACTTTGTGGTGCACCCAGGAGCGAGGGTGAGTGGAAAAGTTGGAGACAGAGAAGTCTTGGTTGGGAACAAGAGGCTTATGAGGGATTGCAATGTTCCAGTTGGTTATAAGGTTGAGAACTACATTTCAGAGAATGAGCAACTTGCTCGTACTTGTGTGGTAATTGCCATTGATGGTAGAGTTGCTGGAGTTTGCTTTGTGACTGATCCGGTGAAACCTGAGGCTGGTCGTGTCATATCTTATCTGCACTCTATGGACATCTTAAGTACCATGGTGACTGGTGATAACTGGGCAACAGCAACTGCAATTGCGAAGGAGGTTGGAATCCAAAAGGTTTTTGCTGAGATGGATCCATTAGGAAAAGCCGATAAGATAAAAGATTTACTGGTAATTCTGCATAGCATGATTTCAAAGCTTCTATTGATTGTAGTGGTCAATCATAAGTGCTTAATTAGTATAAATGACTGCAAAGTAATTAAGCTGCCAAATCCAAGGAGGCCATTGACAAAGTTACAGTTGGTCTAATTAATGAAAATTGGGACAAAATTATAAAACTAAGAACATTCAATGTGATACATTATTTTCTGGCCTTAGCGTTATGAAACGAAGCTTTACATTTTTATGTGGCCTAGAAAACTCTTTTCCATTTTGTTTTTTTTCTTCTCTTCTGTCGATCACACGAAGGTGATGGCACAACAGAGCAGTGGTCGCAGGCAGACGTGCAGTGGCTTTCGTGGTGTGTTTCTCTAAACTAAATACACTACACCTCAATAGGTCGTACAAAACATTCCTGTTGTACTGTTGACAGTTTGTGATTGTCAATGCTTGACTTGAGTGTATCAGGACTTTGGACCCAGTTCTCAAGTTCATATTTACAGTCATGAAACCATGGGGAATCCATGCACAAAGACTCTCTGTTACACAGTTGCATTGAGGAACAAAAATTAGGCTATAGTTCAATGTCAAAATGCATTGAATTTGCATATAGTTTCTACATATTGGTTATTTGTGACATATGAACTCCAATGAATGAACCAACCTTTCAATAACTTTGTCCCTTGTTCTCGGTTTAATCTTTCAACCCATTCATTTAAATTAGAAATAGATAGATAAATATATAAATAGAAGGGGAAGAGAGAAACAGATACATGGTAAATGCATCCACAAAAACTCTCATTTTTGCACTTGAACACAAATTAACAAACGATAGGTTTCTTAAAGTTAATTTATATGTCTTTCATCTAATGATAAATCGAAAGCAACTAAAATTATGAGATTCTTTATCCTATTGAGTTAGGCATGCCCGAAGGTTCAACGTGATAACTGGATAAAAGGTAATACAAGCAATTAGTATTAGAATTCAATAGAACATTCACAATGGCCAACTTTAAGAGGAGAAAACTGATAACATCTTTTAAGCTGAAACTCCTATATAGTAAAATCTAGCCAACATAACAATCCTTTGTAAAAATCAAGAGATTATAACACGCAAGTTTAGCCTGTGGGCCCACTTAGTACAGTTACTCTCATCCCATATTCTGCTTGAAAACGTTACCCCTCTCTGCCTAATTTATGTAGTTATATACCTGATCTTACTTCACAACATGCAAACACAATGCAGACACATCTTTCAGTTTGTAGCCCATTTTTCTCTGTATTTAGGCTCTGATACTGCCATTCATTGTAAGCTCTCTTGCATTAATCCATAAATTTGGGAATTCCTGATTAAAACATATCTTTCCATTTATAGCCTATTTGCTTCTGAAGTGGAACTCTGCTGCTGTCCCACTGTAAGTTATTGTATGCTAAGCATTCATTGAAAACCAAAAAAGGTACCCATCCTCTCATAAATAATTGTAAGCCACAAAATACAAAAAGATGAGTACAAAAAAATTCTACAGAAGAAAAGAATTATGAACAACACTCCCAAGTCACATATTCTTTACGCAGGAACAAAAAGTAAACCAAACACCATGAAAAGATATAAACTAATGTTCTCCAGCAGCAACTAAATAGAATAATAAACTGACTCAAAAAAGAATTCACAAAAAAGAAAACACCAGCATAAATCATATCTAATTTAGTAATAATTCAAACCAAAAATAAACCAAAAATTCAGAACTAATAATTTTAACACAGTAGTTACCTGGTAAGAGGGAGAGGTTAGAGCTCCTCTAGAGGTGGAAAGCTTGAAGAAGAAGCAGTTTTGCTGTGTAAAGTGTAATACCAAGACACAAGCGCTGGCAAATAGGATTTCGAAGAAATTTTTGGACAGGAAAGGCCGATTGTAAATAGAATTACGAAGAAGCTCAGCAGTCTTTTTAGTTAAACAACTTAATTGTTGGGATGAGTATAGCCACAACCAAAGAAAATGGATGTCTAATTGAAATCTATGGTAATTGAATACATGTAATTAAATACATTTGGGGAGAGAGAGACTGAGAGGGGGACGGTGAAGGGGGGTGGTGTGCTCTTCTCTGGTCTGTGAGGGGGGTGGAGAGACGGATAGGGAAGCTGAAGAGGTGGGGCTGTGAATTTGCAGGAAACAGAGAGAGAGAGAGAGAAAAAAAAAGGGAGAGAAAGTAGGAGAGAGGAAGAGGGTGTAACCGCTGAGAAGAGAGAGTGTAATGGCTATGTGAATGTGATAGAGGAAATAGGGAGAGAAGAGTGAAGAGGAGAGAAGCGAGAAGCTAGGAACAGGCTGATTAACGCCTGGAAGCAGAGGACATGGATGACATAATAAAAATGTTAGAGGATAATATTGAAAATAAAATATTTTTCACGTACCCTGACTTTTTAAAGTGATATAGATATAGATAAATAGTAGTATATATGTACGCATACAAGTACGTATCCTTTTCACACTAAGACATATATTTGATTTATTTTTATAATATTTTTAAAAAAAGTTACCAAATAATACATTAATTACTAAGTCATCAGTTCTTCTTCCTTGTTTCTTTGAGGAGAGAGGTGCTTGATAATTGATTAGTATTTATATCTCATGGGCATTGGCTAGAAATAAAAAACTTTGATGTTCTACCCAAAAAAAAACTTGAAATGGAAAAATGAAAAATGAAATAAGAATGAAGCACGAGAGTGATGCTTTTTCTATCGTGAGTGGATTAACACTATCTTTAATTTAAATTTATTTTTTTGCTTAAATTTGAATAAAAATTTAATTTAATATTAAATATTTTAACTAATAAATTTAAATAATATAAATTCAAATTTAAAGAAGGATCAACTATAATCATTAATTTTTAAACGATGATGAAATTTGATTATTGGAGATTGAGTAAAAATTTGAATTTTTTTTATTTAATGTGAATTTGAATAAAGGATTAGAACTTTTATTTAATTTATTTTATGCAAATTTAAAATTTGAGCAAGAATTAAGTATGTTAAAGAATGAACTTGAAGTGACTATCAATTTTCGACACGAATCGAACACAAAATTAATGGGTCTGACACAAAATTAAACAAGTTAATGGATTAAAATAGGTCAACACGCTTAAATACGAAAAAAATCATGTCAAGTTCATATCAAATCAGGTCAATTTGATTTTGACCTAATTAACCCGTATATCTTAAACGGGTTGACATGATTCGGATACGAATCCGACCAAACTCATTGAAGACTCGTTTATAGCAATATAATTTGTCTATTATATATAACTGATATGATTTTAACATTATTACTTATTACTTTTTACTTCTACTATGGTAATTAGCAATTTAGTTTATAACATTATTATGACAGTATCCTAATATAGTTTTTATTTTAATTTTTGGGTTTAAATTTGAATGCAATTTAGTTAATTCTATTGATGAGATGTGGTACGTTATTTGTAAAAAATTGTTTAAAATTTTGAATGAATGATTGAATGATGTATTTAATGGCAATGAACAGATATGAACTCGGGTTATGTGTGTTAAATAGGTCTGTATTATGTGTGTTAAACATGTCAAACAAACATGTGTGTTAACCCGAAAACGACATGTTTATTAAATGTGTCAAACATATCGCGTTCGGATAACTCGTTTAATGGTCCAGTCAAATTAGTATTTACACATTTCAACATGATTATTAAATATGCTAGGTTCGAGTTTTGAGATTTTTGGCATAAATTCAAAATCAACCTGACACGAAATGACTCAATCCGACATAAATGAGTCGAACCATAGGGTCCGATTATCTTTTTTTCGGACTCTTCATCCGGGTCATCGACTTAAAGATGAAGCATATTTTAAAAAACTGGCCCGGCCCAGCAGGTCAACCCAGTGAACCGGTACTCAAACCGGTTCTCGTAAAAGACCGTTTGTGCATAGAAATCAGGATTAAACCGTTGAATCAGTCAAAAACCGGTTAACCTGTGAGAACCGGGACGGTTTAAAACTTTTCGTATAAATGTAAGTTTTTTGCATTTTTGCTCTTTTGCCGTAAATCGAGACCTACCCTAATCGATCCATCCAGATTCCAGACCATCAAGCGACTGAGCACAGCTCCAAGAGGCACTATTCCGGCGACTGAGCAGCTCCAAGAGGTACCACTCCAGCCTCCAGTCTAGTGACGAGGTGAGTGCTCTCTCTCTCTCTCGTTCAGTGACTGTAATCAGTCATATATATTGTGCTTTTGATAATATCATGGATAAATTTTTTTGTGTCTTACAAACAAAACCCCCAGGGTATTTGTCTTTGTAAAGTTGGAGTTTCTGTGTTTATAAGATTTTGAATCTTTGATTGGGTTCACCCCTAACTATTTGTCTTTGTAATTAAACGAGTGAAATGGAGAGCTGCATATATCATGATCTGTTAACTTTCTGCACCAAATTAACATGATCTGTTTATTTTTTGTGTTCTTAATTTAAATACAGTTTGTGCCGATAGTGGCTTGAGTTGTATCAACGTTTGAAGTTGGTAAAGCATGGATTCATTTAGAATTGTTTATCCTGACAGTGAGACTGTAATTACAAATTCCTTTGCTTTCTCTCTCTGCATCTGATTTGTTTTGAATTCACAATGGACTAGATTAGAAGTGAAAATTTCAAATAAATATTCTCTATTTGTTGGATACATGTTTGACGGTTTTTCTCTACTTAATTTTATATGTTTGATGTTATTTTTATAATTATTGTAATTTTTAATTTATTTATTAGTATCTATATTTATTTTTTAATTTTTTTATTATATTATCAGTATGAGCAGTGACCCAACAGTCTAACCAGTGACCCATTGATTTGATCTCCTTGTCAGGTTGACGACCAGGCCGAGTTTTAAAACTATGAAATGAAGACCTAGTCACCGACATGTCCGGTTTCTCTTACTGAAAGAGAGGAGTAAAAACTTTCCACTTCCCCCATTGCCATTACCGGTCACTGGTAAACTGCTCTCTGTTTCACATTCAGCTAAACTCTTCACTGTCTTCTTCTTTTTCCTCTTCTCCAATCTCCACCCTCCCCGTTGTTAGGGTTCATGCGACCCATCCTCGTATAGGTCTTCTACTCCTCTTGCATGCAATCTAGGTATATTTACATTTGTGTATTAACAATAATATCAGACTATGAACGTTTCTTTGGCCTTGTTTTTAGGTTTTGTGGAAATGCAGAGATCTTGTACATCATTGACTCAATCTCTTAGAAGAACGAGAGGGTTTTGCACATCAAAGAACAGCGATAAGATCGTCGCCTCTGTGCTCTTCGAGAGACTACCCATCGTTATTCCCAAAATCGACCCCGCTATTTACGTTTTTCAAGAGTTCTCGTAAGTATTATGTATTCAATATTCTTTTTTTTGTTTTGGTTGCTTTGAAAATGTTGGAATTAGTGCCGAAATCGCAAAAGCAAAGCCTAATTTTATTTATTTTTTAATTGTTAGCTGAGTAGAGCTTACCATTTTGTGGAAATTAAAACATGATGAACAATATTTTTGACTTCGAATTTCATTCCGTTTCTCTTCATTTGTTTATCTCTGCTTCCAATCAAAGGGTTAGAGGTATAAACAAAGAGAAAAAGTATGGAAACTAATTCATTTAACTACATTCAACCAATCATATTGGAACTGGGCTTAGTTGAGGGGAATGTTTGGCATTTTGGAAACTATTGGGTATTTGGTGCTACATTTATGAATACTTATCTAAGGTGTTATTGCATTGGCTGATTTTTTAGGGTTTCTTGTGCTTTAATTATCTTTTGTGTTTTTAGGTTCCGGTGGAGACAGCAATATAGGCGGGCATATCCTGATGAGTTCTTGAAAAAATCTGATGCCAGGTAAAATTTATAATAATTGACTGAAATTCTTGCAAGAATTCTGATGTTTATAATCTAGCACGCAAGTTGTTAAATGATGCTATTTGCTATCTTCTGATGAGTATTTTACACTGGTGGTGTAATTGGAATGTTTTTGTTGACATATTCAGACATACAAAAACACTCATTATAATCTCATCGTGTTTTTTTTTGAGCTTATTTCTCGAGTTGTCCAATAAATTGATGGTTCTTTTGTATCCTGATCATGTTGATCACTCTCACGATCGATACAACTAATGAGAGAAACGAAGTACTAAGAACTTATGGTGCCAGTGACCTTTCTGCTGGGAACAAAATGTAGAAATGTAGCCTGGATCAAGTACGATACTGGATACTGGATACATGATAAATTTGCTTCTTAAAGTCTCTCCTGGTCTGAATGTAGGCCCCAGTGAAAATCTGACGCATGATATCTTGTTTAGTTGGATTTAAAGTACATGAAAGAATTTACAATAGAACACAAAATTATTGTTCACTCAGGGTCTCTGTGCTATTTTAACTGGTCTTTATGGATTTGTAGTGTGACTTTGAGCTCTATGGATTTGTTGGAGCTGTACCACAGTCATAGTTGTGCATCTGGATTGGCTCTTCAACTTGATTTTATCAGAAAGGATACCCCCATTTTTTGCATTGTGCTACTGTTGTGTTCCAATCTGTTTTTTTCCATGCTTATTTGCAACTTTTAACTCATAGCATTATGTTGTTACTTGTTACTCTCTCTCTCTCTCTCTCTCTCTCTCACACACACACAAAAGGTACACGCCCACACCCTCACACATGCGACAAATGCAAAGGTGAACTTTGGCTTTCCTCAAGTATAATGGTTAACATCTATGTTTGTAACCAGGGGCAAAGGTGATTACCAAATTGATTATAAACCAGCTCCTCGGATCACTGAAGCTGACAAAACTAATGATAGAAGGTATTATGTGATTCAATAATGATTTACATGTTTCCATTTTCAAGAATTAGAAGGAAAGATACTTCTCTACTTGAGCAAATCTTGTTGCTTTGAGCACATTCTGTTTCATTAGAGAAGGACAGATCCTTTATGATCACCATTGGCCATAAGAACCACTGCCATCAGCATCACCTCTCAGGAAGAACACCTTAAACGTCAGCTGCAGTGGGATGTGAAAGTTAAAAAATTAGGTGGCAACCCCTTTATAACTGTAAGAGCTTTTTAGCAAGTAATATATAATTCTAATGAATTTTTCGAACTTTTGTTGAGGTTGGGGATTGGGTTGTGGCTCAACTCCCTATACCGTTGTCGATCAGCAGTTTCAGGATTTAGGTTTGTGAGTGAGTCATGAGAATTTATTTCAAGACTCTTTTCTTCCAGTCAAGGTGGTGGGTGGTTCATAGTACTGCATGAGGATTTATGTTTGTAAGAAATGCTAACAGCCTCTCATGAGTATATGCCCAAATGTGCCCGTGCCTCTGAAATTCGAAAAGTTACAGATCCTCTTTCATGGGTCGACCTGTGTCTAAATGTGTTTGTGTCTGGACTGTACAATCAATGATTCATGATTTGGGTATATCAATCCCAAATAGGGTGAGTTCGCGATCCAAATCACTAAAATGTACTAATTCAAATTGTACATGTAACACAAATATAAAATATATTTTAATAAACTACGTGTATATAGATTTTTAATTATATATTGTTTTAAATAATAAAAAATGGAATACAAATGTAAGATAAAGGGTAACTGACTTAGTGTTTATAGATGTTCGATAATATACAATGTTGTATAGTGGTGAAAACGATCTAAATAAGATTTTCAGAATGAATTGCGACCCATACCGTATTAGTAAATCTACCTCCATCGTACCGTGTACTTAAAAAAGTGTCGTACCCACAAGTCCAAGTGGCTGACTGCCTCTATATCCCACTTGCATGTACAACATATAGTGGAAATGGGTTGTCTTCCCTTTTCACCAAGTTATTGATTTTTTTTTTTCTCCAGGGACATTTAGTGGGAAAAGATAATCTCCTTGGAAGGTGGCTACTCCCTTCATATGCCTTCCCAAAGGAACTGGACAGTCTGCCCAGTTGACCATTCTATTGAACATCACACTACATCCCATTGTACTAACAGTGTTTGTTGGGCCCCTGCTGTTCATAGCGCATAGAAGTAATTTAATAGCCAGTAGAAGCTACTTTTTTGAGAAAGCTAGTTGAAAACTGACGCTTTCCTCATATGCATGAATTCCAGACTAATTTCTAAATGTGCATGCAACTCAGGTAGTGATATCCAAAATTGTACACTCGTTTGTTTCAGGTCATTACAACGGGCTCTGGACAGAAGGCTGTATCTCCTCATATATGGAACCACAGACGGGGCTTCCACTGAGAAGCCTGTATGGCATTTTCCTGAAAAAGCTTACGGGTCTGAAGAGACATTACGCAAGGTGATAGTTGCTTTGTACTCTTAGCTATTGTTTTCTCATATTCTTTGAGTAATTTGGATTTCAAGTGTCTGCAGTGTGCAGAATCAGCATTAGAATCTGTTATTGGAGACCTTTCCCACACGTACTTTGTTGGAAATGCTCCCATGGGCCATATGGTTATACAACCAGCAGAGAATGAGAAGGATCTTCTGTCACTCAAGGTATGGAAATTTCTGAATTTTCCTACTTTGGTGTATGTTACCATCAGACTTTGGAAAGCCTTCCCCGTAAATTTTGCTTCAAACACATCAGCCCATCCATAGTTCCTACTTTCATGGGAAGCTCTATCATATGCTTTCATTGCTTTGGCTTCTTGCTGATATTGATTAAGCTGCGTATTTTCCCCCTTGTTTACCTGGCCATTTTGTCAGCGTTTCTTTTTCAAATCTCAAGTGATCGCGACCAACAAGTTTAAGATTGAGAAGTGTGAAGATTTTGTTTGGGTGACTAAGGATGAACTGTTGGAGTATTTCCCCGAGCAAGCTGAATTCCTTAACAAGATGATCATCAGCTGATGCTGCTTTGTTTCTCAATTCCAAGCTTACAATAAGATTTGTTTTAGGGATCATATCCATGGATTACTTGTATCTTTCTCTGTATTAGAAAGCAAATTCTTGCATTCCTCCGGTCAATGGAATGTTTTTGACTGTCTTATCGAGCTTTGAAGGCGACTATAGGAAGTTCAGGCTGCTGATTGCCAAAATGAATTTTGCCGGGCTTCATAAATCTGTTCGAAGTTTTGAGTTCTGGATTTTGATGTTATGAGGTTATTGAATGTAGTGCAGCCTTTTATGAACTTTATTCCTATTTTTCATCTGCTGATATCCCTTCACTCTTGCTCTATCTTGCTTGTCTATCTGTATTTTCTTTCTTCCTCTTTTTGTTGGGGCCGATAATTGAACTGAGTTGCCTAGGCTCGGTTCATTTTTTAAACGAGCTGAGTTATTTGGTTCAACTTGTTTTGCGCTTAGTTTGTTTTTTAAACAAGTCGAATTTAAACAATTTATTTAAGCTCGAACTCGTAAAATTTGATTCATTTATATATAAAATAATTGAGTTATTCAAGATCGATTTGTTTTGGGCTCGATTCAAGTTCAATTTATTTTCTAAACGTTTTAAACGAACTAATTTTGAATAATTTTTTAAGTTTGTTTAAAAAAAATAGTTTGATATTTTTGACTTGAGTTTGTAAAGTTCGATTTGATTATCAATCTTATTTTTGAAAAAAATGTAATTTTGATCACTCGAATTAATTGATATTGGTATCTATATATACGATAATTCTATTTGGACGTATAGATAAGAGTATAATTTATTGTAGAAAAATATTATTTAGATCTAAAAATTTGATATAATTTGTTGATATAATGATGTGATTTTATTGGAACCATTTGATTAACACCAAATTTTAATATTTGATAGAGTTCACAGTCAATCCAAAAATTATAGTGAATTAAATCAACAAATTATGTCAATAAATTAAATCTCAATTACGTCGGTACCGCAGCATTCCTCAAAAATTCGGTGCATCGCACACTCAAAGCACGGATCCTACGACGCGGGAAAATCACGCTGCCCCACGCGTCGAACCACGTGTCACCACCAAAATAGAGCGGAGGTTAGCCCAAGAACTTGCAACGTGTCGCCAACACACAAAGCCTCTCCTATATATACACACAAACACTTGTTAGCAAAGCATTCATATCTCTCTCTCCTTCTCTGGAGACAGGAGTGTGTAAAGCTTATTCATTGGTTGAGTGGCAATGGATTTGATCGACAAGGCGAAGAACTTTGTGACGGAGAAGGTGGCGAACATAAAGAAGCCGGAGGCGAGCATCACCGATGTGGATCTGAAACACGTAGGCCGTGACGGTATAACATACCAGGCCAAGGTGTCTGTTAACAATCCCTACGGTGCATCCATTCCCATCTGCCAGATCTCTTACACCCTCAAAAGCGCCGGCAGGTTTTCGTCTGCTTTCTTCCTCTAGATTTTCCTAATAGGAATACGATTACAATTAATATGCCACTGAAATTTCTTGTCAAATTTGGTAGGTCTTTGCATTAAATTTTGGTTTTTTACGATTAGTAATCGTTAGATCACGATCCAATATTCAGAGACTATAGGGCAGAGTTTATGATCGCACTATTTATATATATATTAGTCATAATCCGGTACGATAAAATATAAAATTCGAGCGATTGATTGATCTCACTATATTAAATTTTTTCAAAATATATTAAGTACAAGTTAATTAAATATTAAATGAATAAACATATGAAATAAATGGGTGGTGTAATATTTTGAACGAGGAAATATATAAATGATTAAATATGTTATTCAAATAAGTGATGTGATTTGATTTTTGAGGTTGACAAAGGGATGATGAGTGAGGTAAGTGATTGATGATGATTTTGAGGTGAAAAATATAACTGAGGTAAAATTCAAATACACCCCAGTTTTATTATATATTTTGACGCTATTCATAACTGTATGTATATATGTATATACAAATGCACACGCACACATATATTTGGGCGTTTAGACAAGTGATATCAGGGTACAGATCTATCTTTGGCGTATAATAGTTTGAGCACGAATCATTCGTGGGTGCAATTAACAAAAGTAGAATTTTGGGTGGCAAAGATGGGATTCAAATCTCTCTTCATTATACTTTTAATTAATTTTACTTAATAGTAAACCTCATTGGTTATGGATACACATACACCTATAAAATGAAATAGCAAATCTCACTTAAATTGACAATTTACCATTACGTGATGTCTAAAGTGTAATGGAGCGGATTTCGATGGAGTCACTCAATATTTTTGGGCTTGGTGGGATGTTTGAGCAATTTGGATTTCATTTGTCAATTTAAAGCTTTGTTACTATGTTTTATCATTCTAGTTGTTTTCTTGTTTTCAAGTAGTAGTGTAAGTCATATTGCCTTGAAATATTGGTTGTGTCAGATTTCCATCGGAAATAATTTTTATTTACTGGGTTTGTATTTGTTAGGTTTAACAGATGGGTCCAGCTCCTTAGCTCTTAGTTTTTAACAGAGTGCTGATCATCGGTATCGTTTTGCATCCAAAAAAAAAATGGTCATTCTATTAACAAAACGACGACCACTTCCACTTTTAATTTTCTTTTCCAATAGCAGAGGATGGATTGGCTCTTACTACTTCACCCTATTAAAATTAAACTCAAACCCGTTTATTTTCTGTCAAATTTGCAAGGCATATGAATTAGTTTTCCTGTTTGGTGAATACTTAAAATAATGTGTCCACTTATATTCTGTAAATGCGGCTAGGGTGATTGCTTCGGGTACCGTTCCGGACCCAGGGTCGCTGAAGGGAAATGATATTACGCTACTGGAAGTGCCATTGAAGGTGCCACACAGTGTATTGGTGAGCTTGGGGAAAGACGTAGGTGCAGATTGGGATATAGACTATGAATTGGAATTGGGTCTCACCATTGATCTTCCAGTCGTTGGAAACCTAACCATTCCGCTCTCCAGTAAGGGAGAGATCAAGCTGCCTACTCTCACTGACTTGTTTAATTGAAAACTATGTATATGTACTTTTTTTCCAAGTTGGTTATGATGTAATCTTCTTTAATCACACATTTTCTGGTACTTTTATCTGAAAATTATATATGGGGTGTCCTTTTTAATAACTTGTATATTTGATCAAAAATAAATAAATAAATAACTTGTATATCTTGTTGGAATGGGGTTTGTATTTATTATTATTAGTATAACTGTTTGATAATAGATTTGAACCAATGATCTCTACTTCTTCGAGTTGGGGTTAATCATCTCGGAATTGTCTCAGATAGATCTGTTTGTTTGATTGGGAGTTTGTATCATGGGTATTGTTGATGCTAAAAATTCGTCGGAAAATGGTGTGGTGCATGACTTAAGGTTATGCAGTGTTCCAAGTTAGATTACGAGTTTAGGACAAGAAGAAAATGCTAATTTTTATGTGCCTTTGTCTGTATTTTATGTGATTAAAGAATTGGATATCTTATTTGTGGAGAATTGTTTCCTTTTATAAGTGGAAGAGTTGGTGTAGTGGCTGGGAGTTTGTAGGTTGATTGATGTGGTACACCATTATTGATTTGTTGGGATTTGTTCTTCTTTAGTCCTACAATAGGTTGGATCCTTTTTAGAAAATCTATTTGTTGCTAGGTTGAGATTTTTAATTTTTTTTTTTTTTTTTGGTTCAATAGTTTAGAGTGTTTAAATCAATTTGTACGTATTTTAACTAATTTTTTCTCCAGTCCAATCAATGATAGTTTATCTATTTCTCAATTCTAAATAGATATATTTTAGTTTCGTTACGTTACATTGTCACCAAAATATTGAGTTTGAATTATAAAAACAATCTTTTTGAATATAAAATGCATCATCAAACCTCATTGAAACAGGCAGGAAGATTTTTTGGATTAGTCTGGTCTTTTTTAAGGTTCTCTCAGTTTTAGGTTTCCTGCTTGATAGGTCTTTAAAGGATATTGAACTTTAATCAAGCTCAGGAAATATGCCAAAATGGAACCTTCGACCCACTTCTATACCGGTTGAATTTTGACCCGACGGTGCCTTAACGGACCTGGCTTGGACTGAAGGTTGCCTATAATCCTTTGGGGTAAGCAGAGATAGAATGGGCAAAAGCCCAAATCCTGGAAAATTTCAAGTGGCCTTAACTAGATAAAATTAGGAAAATTTGAAAACTGATTCCCTTATACGAACTTGTTTGAACTTAAATCCATCAAGAAAATTTATTTGTTTTGAAGTTTGTTTTAATCAATTTTACCAGACTATCCATTTCTTTTAGAAGTGAAATAAAACTAAAAATTAAAAACTCTTAAATTTTAGTAGTTTGACTAAAATTAAAAAAATTTCTCTCTCATATCTATCTACTAGTAATTATCCGTACCCGAAGACACTAAATAACAAAAAAAATGAAAATTATAAACTTGTGCACTTTCTTCTTTTTATTTTAATCTAAAGATAAAACAATTCTAATTTAATCACATAAGAAACATGCAAAGAAAAATCCAACCATAGCCCTTAAATATATGCACATGCAAAAAAAAAAAAATACAACTGTTTTTACTTCGTAAATATGCTTAACGCTACTTCATGGACAAATAAAACTTCATAAATTTTAAACTGAGGTTAGTCAATGGTTACAAAGATCACCTATTACAAATATTCATTTTCTTATAATATTACATAGCCCAGACCAAAGCACGTGATTTATATTTGGAGAATTATTTGGGAATCAACTCATTTAATTCAACTATAATGCTCATGATTAAGAAAACATAAGACAATCCACTCAAAATAACTTGATGAAAGAGATATAGTAGCTGATTTTGTTTTCTTTGCCAGTCCATATGCTGATCTCACAAATTAAAGGGGACATGAATTGCCAAAAAAATCAAAAAACCGTAACAAAATATGATGACTGATTAGCAAGCTCCACACAAATGTCACTGTCCCAAAAAAAAAGA